GGCTGCTGGCTTCAGTGGAAGGGGAGCTTGGGACCTGGACTTCATCAGTACCAAGAAGAATGATCTCAGGATGCTTGTTTGAACAGATAGCATATCCAGAGTTTGTGGTTTGTGATGGAGAAATTGTGTTCTGTGTTCCGTATGCTCATCCTTCAAGTTCATGGCCATCAGCACCTGAGAGTACTTAAGGCTCAGGGTAACTGAAGGGAGCATAAATCCTGCTGGCTTTGAACACAGCCCAGGGTGCAGCCTATCTTCCTGTCCTGGCCAACATTAATCAGCTCTTCTTCTCCAACCCTCGTTTGTGCCTGTAAATCAAGAGGCCCCGGTATTAGTCACTGCAGAAGCGATAATTATTAAGTACAAGCCACCACTTTCATCCATCACTCAGTGCCTCAGATTCAGGCTAAGCCAAGAAGATAGAGAAAGCTAAGGGATGAGTCGTTACCCTGGGATTTTTTCAGAACTTATGAGTCTCAGTGTTTCCATGTAGATTCTGCGCCCTCCCCAGCTATTATAATTACAGCTAGGAATACAGTGCCAAGGAGAAGTCTAGTCATTCATTTAATGCCATTTCCCTTTTCTGGACTCAAACATATGTCTTTAGAGCCTCGGGAGGAATCTGAGACAGCAATGGTGTCTTAATGGTATGGTCCTGGAATTTATCCTCTCCAGGTCTCCTAAGGCACCAGAATGAGATTCAACTTTCTCAATGGGACAGGCTATGTCCCTCAAAGAAAGCCATAGCTTGTGCCATTCCAGTCACCAGTATTCTTGGGTGCATTTCCTGCTCTGGCTGAGCACATGGCCAAGGGCGCTGCTGCCCACAGGAGAGGTTGTCTCCAAATCCACTAACAAGTCATGAACTTCCTTTCTATGCACTGATGACCAAATGCTGCTGACCTGTGGAGAAGTATTCTGCTCTCAGATTACAGCTTTGGCGCGGAGTTTTTCCATCACACAGTATTTCTTCCAATTTTTAAATTCCCTATATCAACCACTTTACATTCTTCTGAAGCAGAATAATTCCAAGCCAAAGTAACTGATGAGGATGGTAAAAACCTCACCAATTCAAAAGGGATGTTAAGGCTTCCCAGGGGGAGGTCTTGGGACAGCTCAAAAAAATAAGCTCTGGCTTTTACTGGCCAGCCCATCTTCTAGAAAGTGAGGGTGTGAGGTTGTGTAATCACAGCCCTTTCTACTAAGACTAACACCACATCTCATCACATTTAAAATGCCACTGGTTACTAAAAGCATTACATTGTATTTACTGACAAGAAAAGGAAGTCTTAAGATATGTCTCCAGTCAAATCACCCCAAACACCATTAAATATGGCTAGGTTGCTCACACTGGACTCCATCAGCTTTAAAATGCACTTTGGTCAACCTGGTAACTCCCTCTGGCCTAGGCTGCACTGCTTGATGTGAAATGGGCGATCCTTTTCTATGACAAAAGTAGAACTGTTTTTCATCTCTTTGGGAAGTGTCTTTCTAAGAAAGAAAACATTTTCTTAAGTACTTATTTTATTTTATGACAAAAGTAGAACTGTTTTTCATCTCTTTGGGAAGTGTCTTTCTAAGAAAGAAAACATTTTCTTAAGTACTTATTTTTAAAGTGTGTGTGTGTGTGTGTCTGTCTGTCTGTCAGAGCATGTTGCCATAAGAACAGGAGGAGTACTTATGAAGGCCAGAGGAGTCATGTCCCTCAGGATCTTGAATTACAGGAGATTGTGTGAGCTACAGGGCATGGGTGTTGGGAGCTGAATGAGGGTCCTATACAAGAACAGTATTGCTCTTAACCACTGAGCCATCTCTCCAGTCCAAAAATGGGGCCTTTTGGTGCCAAAAAGAGAGCTTAGCAGTTAGGAGCCCTAGCTGCTCTTCCAGAGGACATGGATTCAGTTCCCAGCACCAGCATGGTGGTTCACAACCATCTGTAACTCACAGGGGATTCGATGCCCTCTTCTGGCCTCTGCTAGCACCAGACATGCACATACTTGACACATATACACATAAGCAAAATACTCATACACATAAAATAAATAAAATAAATCAAGAAAGCAAAAAAGCATTTGCTTTTTCCCTTACAAGAAAATAAAAACATTGTTGACATTCTTCTAGGGATAGATATCTGTTTCATTAAAACAAAATTGGCACTCCTCTGCATTTTTTCTTTTCTTTTCCTTTCTTTCTTCCTTTCTTTTTTGGTATATTCAGTAACTTTTCATTCCAATGCTGAAGTATAATGGCCTCTTTATAAATATCTTTTAATCATATTCTTTCCCTTTCCCCAGCTCCTCCCAGATTGCCCCCACTTCCGACCCAATACAACTTTGTGTTCTTTCTTTCTCCCTCAAAAAAAGAAAGAAAAGAAAATCAAAACAAACAAAAACCCAATAAGAAAAACAAAATAAAACTAAGCTAAAAGCACACAAAATCATAGGGTCTGTTTTGGGATGGCCAACTACTCTGGGGCGTGGAGCCTGCATGGAAGTGTAATTTATATACCTAGTAACACTCCATTGGAGAAAACTTATTTCCCCTTTTCCAGGAGTATCAATTGCAGATAGCTTCTGGATTAATAGTGGGACTCTGGTCATATGTGTGCTGTCTCAATCTCTCTGAGTTTTTATGTGTATCAGTCCTGTTGTGTCAGGAAGACACTGTTTCCTTAGAGCGTCCACCACCTCTGACTGTTACACTTTTGCCACCTCCTCATCTGTAGAGATCCCCGAGCATTAAGGAACGAGATTTGACAAAGACATCCCACTTAGGACTAAGTGTTCCAGAGTGTCTCACACTCTCTACCATAGCCTGCTTGTGGGTCTCTGTGTTAATTGCCATCTACTTCAAGAAAACACTTCTCCAATGACAGCTGAGGGATGGGATCTATGGGTATAGTAATATGTCCATGATGGATTCTATTGTAAGACATTTGCATGGCAACTACACTCTGTGATGTAAAGAGAAGCATGAGCCCAGCACGGTGGGAGGGGCATGTCAATATTGCAATGGCATCAGCCATGCTCAGGCAGTATTACTTACATCACAACTGCTGCTTGTCAGCAGATACTGCTCAGAGTCCTTAGGATATCCTGATCTCAGACATGGGAAAATAAGAGAAATGAGTGTCTCAGAATGGCTGCATTCAAGGAATAACTTCCATTTCCTGAGAACTGACTACATAAAGCAAGGTACTAAACTCGTGGCTGAACTTCAACCAAACTTTTTGCCAAGAACTGTGTGTAGGATGAAAATCTTAAGCAGTATGGATAATTTTTAGGGTTTGTTAAATTCTGAGGTGCACCAATTGTTTACAGTGAGTGTGTATATTGATTGTGTGTGTGAGAGAATGACACTGAGGCCAGAAGAGTATGGAATCCTCTGGAGCTGGAGTTGTAGGTAGGTGTGATATACTTGACATGGGTACTAGAAAGTAAACTCAAGTCCTCTGTAAGAACAGCCAGAACTCTTAACCTCGGAGTCATCTCTCCAGTCCCTAGGGCAGAAGTTTTAACCATCCAATCTAATTACTTCAGATCACACAGCTAGGTACATTCAGGGCAAGTATTCTGATCCTGCCTCTAGGATACCTCCAGTCAGTTCTGTGTGTCCACAGTCAGTCTGAAGTCCACCAACTGCAGTCTCCCAGTAGCTCCTGTCTCCTTTCAAAGACATAAAACATGACTCAAGTGACTTTACAAATGTTTATTCAGTTGGGTGCAGCAGTGCACCCCCACAATAGGCTGCAGTAGGAAGATGGTGAGTTCCAGGCCAGCCTCGACCACATAGCAAGAGCCTGTTCCAGAAAACCTAAATAAATAAACAAATGTGCATTTTAAATATCCCCATCACAGTGTGGCTACTGTGCTTTCTTTAAAAAAGAATAAAATAAAAATAAAAGAAAGCCACAGAGATGGTCTAACAGATAATGGCACTTGCTGACAGGCCTGAAGACCTGAGTTGGATCCCTCCCTAGAACCCAAATGGTAGAAGGTGAGAAATAGCTCTCACAAGTTATTCCCCTCTCACACACACACACACACACACACACACACAGATGTTAAAAAAATAAGCAAGTAAATAGAAAATAAAATTTCAATCATATACAGCAGCAATTTTCAACCTTCCTAATGTTGCAACCCTTTTCTCATGGTGTGCAGACCCCAGCCATAAAATTATTTTGTTGCTATTTCATAACTGCAATTATAAGTCCTAAATAAATTATGAGTCATAATGTAAATATCTGAATTTTCCGATGGTCTTAGGCCACCCCTGTGAAAGAGTCGTTCAACCCCCAAAGGGCTTGTGAGCCACAGGTTGAGAACCACTGATATGGAGTTTGTGTAATAAACTGATAAGAATACCCAATACATAGTGATGTGTTAGGCAAATGGCCACTTGAAGGAGTTCATTAGTAAGATTTCTGTTGGAACAGCAGTTGTGTCATCTGGCTACCTTCTCCAGCAGTACAAAACATCCCCAGTTCCTGGCCAGAACCTTTGTCAGTGAACTGAAATGACTAGCCAAGTGGCAATGAAATGTGTTCGTGAAAAAATAAGGATCTAAATTGGCTCAAACATTGGTCTTATGCACCCTGGGCATCCTTTCCCTTCCCTATTGTAGCAAGGACTGCTCTACTTTACAAAGTTTGTTTTTTAGTGAAATGGTAAGATGGATAGACAGAAGGAAATGCACAGAAGGAGTTTCTTTTGTTAATAATAATAAATAAAAAAACTATCAAAGATGTTTTTCTCTCCCAATGTTGGTGATGCGGCATTTTCCAGTGTGTGAGAGCCCCTGGTGTTGGTCCCTCTGAAAAGCATGGGAGGCCCTACCAGCCCTAGGAATGGGACAGGAATGGGACAGGAATGGAAGCCACCACGCCTACCCCTAGAGAATAGCAGTTCTGAGTAAACCTTGTGGCTTTGTGGCAAGGGCAATTCTGTTTCCATGGTCAGCTAAATACGGGATCTGGGAGTGGCCTCGTACATTTATGTCCAGTGCTGTGGAACCAAACCCAAAAGAAAGGAGTGAGAATGTGATGACAGGCTTTCGTAGTCAAAATAGATACCAGTTAGAAGCAACTGCCAAGTCCAAATGCTAGAGGCCTCCATCCTCACACCCCAGTCAGGTAGATTTAATTTCCTACTGTTCAGCAGCCAATGTGGAGATTATGCTAGTAGAACGTAATAGGCAATTTTAAAAATTATTATCTCAAGTCATTTATGTATCTGGCTGGCAAGCATATATTGAATTAGTATGTGTGAAAAGGGAGGGGTGTACAGGGACAGATGTGTGTATTGGAACCCTACTAAACATTCTAACTGCCCCTTTGGGTTTGTTCCAGCTGCAAAGGTGCCTCCCACTATGGCCTGACCAAGGACCGGAAAAGGCGCTCACAAGATGGCTGCACTGATGGCTGTGCCAGCCTCACAGCAATGCCACTCTCCCCAGAAGTTTCTGCAGCTGCCACCATCTCTTTAATGACCGATGAGCCTGGCTTAGACAACCCTGCCTATGTGTCCACAGTGGAGGATGGTGAGCCAGTAACCAACTCCTCAGACTCCGGCCGGAGCAACCGAACTAGGGGTGAGTCAAATGGGTGGGTGTCTGTGAATAGGCTCTTGGTTTTCCCTGGGATTGCCCTCTGTAGAATACTCACTGCGGAAAGTTCTAGAAATGTTTTTGCAAAAGGGGAAATGGTTCTGGTAGTTTTGGCAGCCACTCCGTCCAGTTCTCCAAAGTAAAATGGAACTGTGAGTGCTCAAATCTTCACTGCTGTGTAATCTGACTTGGTGAAGGCGGTTGAGGTGAGGCCTGATGAATTATGGTTCCTGACATGTGGGGACCTCCCCTGCCTACTTTAAAAGTGTTATTACATTCACTCTCACCTAAAGGGGGAGAAAAGATTTTACATAAATAGGATATGTTTTTCATTACAAAAAAAATTACAAGTGCAGGTAGATAAACTCTTACCGTTAAGAGGCAATCACTATTTTAATAGTATTGTCCCATTTCATGTATTTTAGTGTTTTTCATTACAAAAAAAATTACAAGTGCAGGTAGATAAACTCTTACCACTAAGAGGCAATCACTATTTTAATAGTATTGTCCCATTTCATGTATTTTATACATAAAATATTTCTTTGTTGTTGTTGTCACTTTTTTGTTTTGAGGCAAAGTCTCACTGTGTGCCTGGCTAGCTTTGACTTCCTGAGTTTCCTGTCCAACCCCATGAGTGCTAGGATTACAGGCACATAGCAGCGCACTTGCCTAAAGGATGGTGGCTGTGAACCTGTAACTCCTGTCTCTGTTACATCTCTCCTCAGCGAGGCCCTTTGAGAGGTCCACTATGAGAAGCCGATCTTTCAAAAAGATTAACAGAGCTCTGAGTGTTCTTCGAAGGACAAAGAGTGGGAGTGCTGTTGCCAACCGTGCTGACCAGGGCAGGGAGAACTCTGAGAATGCCACTGTCCCTGAAGGTAAACAGAATCCCCACCCCCATCCCCAGGCTGGCCACAGACTGGGTTTCCAGAGTCACTTCAGGGATGGTGACAGCCTGACCACCACCCACCCTCTGTGACCCCTCCCTTCCCAAGGGTACAGCATTGGTTTTTAACCTTAATTAGCCTCTCCACCTGAGTAAGGACTGAAACTGTCTTCTTTGTCATCTTTCTACACAAATGAGGGGAAACACATCATTGTCATTCTCACAACACGGCGCTATAGAGTCTTCTTTTGAAACAGAAAAAGTTACCATGAGTTCTGTAGAGATTGATAAGCATCAAGTTAATTCCTTTGTTTTGATTCATTGCTTTAATTTTCTTTGTTCATTTGTTTATTGTGGGTGGGTGGAGATGGGTGTACCTGCCCACATACATGTGTACTCATGGGTCACAGTGCATGTGGAGGTCAAAGGACAACCTGTGAGGGTTGGTGTTCTTTCACCATGTGGGACCTGAGGCTGGAACTCCAATCACCAAGTGCCTTGAGCCACTGACCTATCTTGTGGGCCCTTGCAAAGCATCTGTGACAGGCTGGCATGTACTGTATCCTTGTCACATCTATACAGGAGACACCCTAAGGGTTCTATGTGCCTTTTCTCATTTAATCATCATGTGCCTGGGGCACATTTCAAGGTCACTGGCATCTCATTGGTGTGGCTCTCAGGATGGTTCACTGTCATTGTATCTTTGTTTTCAGGAAAGTATACTGAGGCATGTAGAGGTCACTCAACTTGTTCCAAATGCCCTTGTTGACCTATGAAGCCACAGAAAGGAAGTTATTGTATATTAGTTCATGTATGATTTATATCTTCCCCAGTGTAAGTTGAGCTGAGGAGACACTGTTTTCCACCTTTGTTTTTTATTTGATATTGAAGCTTTTAGGTTAAATTAATGTTTTGTGAGAGAGGGTCTCACTTTGCAGTCTTGGTTACTCTAAAACTTACTAGTCTAAAACTGACCTCAAACTTACAGTGATCCACCTACCTGTGCCTCTTGAGAGTCTTGGGCTTGCAGGCGTGTACCACATCTGGTTTTTATTAAACTATACAGTAAAATAACAGCATTAAGAAGAAGAACAGCTCTTCAGTACCAGCTAATGCTCTAAATCATGCATATGTCATAAGAATGCTGAGAAGAAGGGTTGTCATTCCTAGTTCACAGATAAGGAAAATGATCCAGAGAGGTTAGGCAAGTAGCCCAAAGTCACACAGCTAAACAACCACTAACACCACACACACAGACACACACACACACACACACACACACAGAGAGAGAGAGAGAGAGACAGAGAGAGAGAGAGAGAGCAGGATTTTAACTTCAAGATCTGGCTCTTTTGACACCTTCCAAAACACTCTTTGGAGTTGGAAGTTAAAGTTCCAGGAACTTTATTTACTCTGCCCTTGGAAAGTTCATGAGCAGCCTGTGAGTCTCCTGGCTTGTCTATGTGCCCTCTCACCACGAGCCTGCCATGCTGTCCCATTCAGTGCTTGTGTGACTTCTCGTGCCTCTCTGCTGCTGGCCAACCTACACTCTCCATCTCCTTCCTACTGCCAACCTAACTCTTCACCTGGAAACAGAGACGAGAAGCCACCATCACAGGGTTGGTAGGAGGCCTGAAAATGTGCATTTCAATTTTTTTAGTTCAATGTCCAGAAAAGAATGTTTTTAAATCATGTAGTCTTCAGACAAAGAATTTTGACCAAATTCTTTTGTGTCTCCACTAAGATAATCTGACAGTTTAAAGAATCGTTTTAACCCCTTGAAGTCATGAGGATCTCATTGGTCTGGCTCTAAGAATCATCATTTAAGAGCGTGGAGTTGGGCATGTCCTTTCTAATCAACTCAGATATCCTCCAGTTGTTTAAATTAAGGAGAACAATGTTTATGTCTGTTGTAAAGGAGGAAGGGGAAAGGGAGAATTGGGAGCTTTGGTGATTATTTCCAAAACTTTCTTTGCTTAAAATCATTTTTCAGAAAGTTTCCATTCCCTTGATACCAGACATGTTCTGACATATGCGTAAAGGCTACTTAATACAAACTGAGCAGTTTAAACATTAATTGAGCCCAGTCACCCACATGCTGTTAGCACTAGGAACTGACAGATTGAGACAGCTACTCACAGCCTTGCAGAAGCCATTTGCTGACATTAAATTAAACCTAGAATTTAAGACCCACATTCACAATGTCACAGGCTTCCGCTAGCCACTGCATTACCTCGTTAATTATGCTGTATAGTAATTGCAAGTAGGTTTTTTTTCCTGTATAATTTTCATAAAGAGTTGAGTTCATTTAAACAAATGAACCATAGCTATGGGTTTTGAAAATAGTCCCGAAGAGTGGCTTATACAGAACCAGGCTCATAGTATATCTTTCCAGGTAACAAAACTAAAGGAGACTCTTAGAACGAAGGCAGCTGTCAGCAGCTACTGGGCACTGACTGTCCCTGCATCTGCATCCTAACTGAACTTCAAGCTACACAAAGGAGCCACTTAACAGCTAGCCTAGGTGTGACACATTCTCAGAAGTTGGTGTCCCCTCTAGATACTTATATCCCAACTGAAGTGGAAACCAGTGTCAACCAGTGCTTCTGGCTTCTTGGTCCCAAGGGCCTGTCCCTGTGGACTTTGACGTGGCTGTGAACATCTAGCTCCTGGGAAACTAATGAGGCTATGAGTGTAACTACCATCAGAAGCCTGGTGTTCCTGAAATGGTCACCTTACTTTACAGCTTCCTCTCTGTGCTTTTCCACACACACACACACACACACACACACACACACACACACACACACACACACACACACACACACACACACACACACGAATAAAGGACTGTGGAGCTGCATAGTGACCCACGAAGCTATTCTTTGGCACAGCCAGGGTTGGGTCAAATACTAAAGTTAGGAAACACCAGCTCACTCACATAATCTTTGATTTCTCTCTCTAGCACTGAGTTAAGTGATCCAGGTGGATGAGGAACAATGCTCCAGAAGGTGCCATAAGACTGAGATCATGGCCTCTTCCTGACAATGAACTAGGTCTTTTGAATGCCTGGTATTGGCAGCAGTATCTGCTAGAGGGCTGATGATTCCTGGAGCCTGAAAAGCGGAGTGTCTGAGATCTTCCAAAATAATCTAAGAGGACAGAAGAACAGATTCTGGTTTTGTTTTTTGATAAGAAAGCAGTATAATCACAGTTCATTCCCTAAAGACATCTGTTCATTAGTTTGTTCTATTCTATCAGTAAGCGTCAGCTGAAGGCTCTCATGTACGGAAAGATATGTGCAGAGAAGCATGGGGCAGCCAGAAATTACTGCCTTGGCTGTGTAATCAAAGCAGTTTAAACATTAATCGAAGCAGTCAACCAAGTACCATCAATATTGGGACAGCCAGGTTAAGGCAGCTACGTATAGCCTGATAGTGAAGCCAGTTGCTAGATTCTAGAGTCCACTTGGTGATATGAGAGGTCAGTATAGGTAGCAATGATGGAAGGTTGAATGCTATGAGACGTAGCATCAGCCTTACAGGAATCATGTGTGTAGAGACAACAAGGAAAAGAAGGATTGGGGTAAAGTTTAGTTGGAAGGGATTATTTCATGCATGCCTTGTAGGAAAAATTGGGTTTCAGCCCAGGATGAAAAACATTCCAGCAGAGAAATATATGCTGGCACCAAGGCAGGAAAGTGGGAAACACGCACAAAGAACAATGAACAGTTTAGTTTGGCAAGAAGGTCTGAAACAAATTCTGTTTTTGTTCATTTCAGTCTTCCCAAGGTTGTACCACCTGATTCCAGATGGTGAAATTACAAGCATCAAAATCAATAGAGTGGATCCCAATGAAAGCCTCTCCATTAGGCTTGTTGGAGGCAGTGAAACCCCACTGGTCCACATCATCATCCAGCATATTTATCGTGATGGAGTGATTGCCAGAGATGGACGGCTGCTGCCAGGCGACATCATTCTCAAGGTGCCCAAAAGGCATGATCGTGTAACTATACGCTTACAAGATCATGAGCTGTAGGCTATGAAAGGCACTTACTCTAAATCTTTAAAAGTAGATAATGGTTGGATGGATAGATGGAGGGATAGATAGATGGTTGTGCAGAAAGATGGGTGGATAAGTGGATGTGTGGAGGAATAGGGAGATCCTTCAGAGCTAATATTAGATGGGCAGATAGGTAAATGGATGGATAATTAGATGGAAGGGTGCATAGGCAGATGGATGAACGTGTGGTTGGGTAAATGGATGGGTTGGAGGGTGGATAAGTAGATGACAAATGGGGGATAAGAGAATAGGTAGATGGCAAATGGAGTGGATATAGTGAAATAAAGACAGACACTTTCCACAGTTATACTGAGATAAATCTCATATGAAGAATTCTAATATAATTTGGAAGGGTCTTTCTCCTCCTCTGCCCATTTATAAACAGTTACTGTTTGTTTACAGTTGTTACTGTATCATTTTCTGTCTTCTCTCTCCCCATCTACTGTTTTCATCTACACCCTTTTCTTTCTCCACTTTACACGTTCTTTCTCTTCTTGCTCCTCCTATAGCCTCTCCTTTTAAAATAAACATTAGTATAAAATAAGCACATTGATGGCAACTGTTGTGTTTGATCTAATTGTGTCCAGACCCCCTTCTACAGAAACACTCCTGTGGCTCAACAGCCATCTCTAATCTGGTCTCATGACCTAGAGGCATTCCCAGGGACTCAGGGGTGGAATGACCTGACTTGGGCACACTGTCCTCCTAGGCATGGTTGAAAGGGAGACTTCAGAGAAGAATTTTCAGGACAAAAAGAAAGTGGGGAGAGCTGTTGCTTATCAGACAGATGCCAAATGTGAGCCAAAAGGGACTAGCATGCCTTCCCAGCTCATCTACTTCTTATCTGATATTCAGATAACAGTTCCATCCCACCCTTTGCAGGAAGCAGAGGGAGGACTCCTGTCTCAGCGTGGGCTGTTTGTTTGGCAAACTAATTGGGATAAGAGGAGAAATAATTGAAAGGGTTACTGCAGAAATGTTGACATTGTCTCTGGGATGTCCACCAGGCAGGGCCCATCACTCAAGTGGGCCACAAATACTGGGACCCCAATCACAGCAGGGCTTTCTCCCTCTCCCAATGGATACTACTGTGTCTGGGAGGGCTGCATAAGAAAATTCTATTCTTTGGTCCTCAGTTGGAAGCAACTTGAAGATAAAGAAATGCCAGGGACCTATATCAGATGACCATAACTTCCCTTGATCATAGGCTCTGTCACCTTCCTGGTAGTGTTCCCTTGTGTTTGGACAAGGGGGTACCTTGTCTTCACTAAAGGAGCCCAGTCCATCTCTGAGTTTCAGCAAGAGGCAGTGGTTGACCTCAAACAAGGTCCTTTCAAAGCTCATTTTTCCAATGTGCCTCTAACAGTTGGCTTCAAGTACAGCAATCTTCTTAGCAAACTCCCAAATCTAAGCAGAGTACAGAGCTGCTGGGAACTGTTTTCTTCCAGAGTGGTGACAAACACTGAGGGCTGTAGCCTCCAGGCTGGGCCTGTGGAGCCAGGATAATTAAAGCCAGAAAGTCAGATGCAGCAGCAGCCCTGTGGATGGTTAGTGAGGCCCCACTGAGAGGCCCAGGTTCGGTATAGTTAAGGAGGGCTATAGTGTTCTGCCTTTCAGTAAATAGCCTAGAAACGTTCTTGTGCATTAGCTTATTTGAAATGATTCAAGCCCCACAGTCCGTTATAGTTAGAGTATTAGCAGAAGACCTTGCAGACATCCGTCTCAGTACCTGACACTCCTATACACACTGTTACACTCACACCTGCAGATGAACATTCAGGCCCACTCACAGATACTGTATCATACAACAGCCCCTTCACACACTCAGGCCCACTTACAGATACCATATTATACAACACACTCACACAGACCCAGGCCCACTCATAGATACTATATATCATACAACACACACACACACACACACACACACACACACACACACACACACACGCGCGCGCGCCCAGACATACTCACAGGTACCATATCATACAACTCACATTCACCTAGGCCCACTCACAGATACCATATCATAAAACACACACACACACACACACACACACACACACACACACACACACACACACACACACAGGCACATTCACTGATACCATATCAGGCAAATACACACTCAGGTACATTCACCCAGATAATATAATGTGAAAACACACTCCACACACACTCAGGCACATTCACACCAATATAATAACATACAAAGACATCCACATTTTGTCAGGCACACTCACACAGATGTTTTGGCATGCAAATACACTCACATGTGCACAGGCATGCTCACATATACTATAACATGAAACACTGACACATGTTCAGGGGCATTCACACAAATACTCTACATACAAACCACATATTTAAGCACATATTCTCTCTCCCTCTCTCTTCCCACCCCCACCCCCTCACACACACACCACAGAGTAATTGGAGGTGAAAGTATGGGTAACTCAGTAAGAAAAATTTTGTTCAAAAAAACAATCAACTTGTTTTGGTCTAAATAGTGTTGGATATCATCATCTAATATTGGGGTGCAGATCAGTGGCCAGGCCTGTGCTCTGCGTGCACCTCATTTTAAGAGTATAGTCATTTGAGCCAGGCAGTGGTAGTACAGGCCTTTAATCCCAGCACTAGGGAGGCAGAGGTAGCTGGAGCTCTGTGAGTTCAAGGCCAGTCAGATCTACAAAATTGAGTTCCAGGACAGCAGGACTACACAGAGAAAACTTGTCTCAAAAAACAACAACAACACACACACACACACAGTCATTTGAATAGAATAAGAAAATGCCTTTGTCTTTCAACTTTTTTCTTTCTTCAGTATCAACTAAAAAACTAAAATTGGCAGGTAACAGAAATTAACAGGAGGATTCTACACTGTCATATGGGCCTGTGCAAGTACATGGGTGAAGGAAGGCAGTGCTGCGCCCTAGAGGAGGGAAAATTACTGTGGAAAATTAGACTTTTTGAATACAGAATAAAAGGAGATAGAGAAGCAGGCTAGGGGACAATATCCTGGTTACTCTGTGGACTTGGACTTGTATTCATTTGATTCTTGTGATGCTGAGGATCAAACCCATGCTGGCCTGGACCTTCTCAGAAGGCTAATGGTAGGTACACTCACTGTCGAATGGCCCCACCCCCAGGTCAATGGAATGGACATCAGCAACGTCCCTCATAACTACGCCCTGCGGCTCCTTCGACAGCCCTGCCAAGTGCTGAAGCTCACAGTGCTGCGTGAGCAGAAGTTCCGTAGCAGAAGCAATGGACAGGCACTGGAGTCCTATGGACCTCGGGATGACAGCTTCCATGTCATTCTCAACAAAAGCAGCCCTGAGGAGCAGCTTGGCATAAAGCTGGTGCGCAGGGTGGACGAACCTGGGGTGTTCATCTTCAATGTGCTGAATGGGGGTGTCGCTGACCGACATGGCCAGCTAGAGGAGAATGATCGTGTGCTGGCCATCAATGGACATGACCTTCGATTTGGCAGTCCAGAAAGTGCAGCTCATCTGATTCAGGTGGGTCAGAAGTCACCCTAAGATCCCAGTCAAAAAACCCGCAGAAGCAGGAACATTTGGTCCCTTATCATGTGTGCCACTGGAGCCTCCCTCTGGGGAAGTCAAGGAAGGGCTGGCAGTTTCAATGCTACTGTCCAAGAGCGCAAATGACACAAATGGTGTACCTCGGGTCATGACCTTTGCTGATAGTCTTACAGTGTATGTGTGCTCTCTCTCTCTCTCTCTCTCTCTCTCTCTCCCTCCCTCCCTCCTTCTCCTTCCCTCCCTCCCCTACCTTTGTCTTCCAGTTCTGCTTTGCTCCTATTTTATGGTTACCTGCCTATCTAGAAAAGTGTAGAAGCATATTATATTATAAAAGTACCTGGAACAATGCCTAGCAAGGTTAAGCACTTGATGAATAAGTGTTTATTATATGTAAATACTTAACTAATAAATTAGTCATATTATAAACATATATATATTACATTTTAGTCAATTCCTTCTCTGAAGGATTATTTTTGTCAAACCATTTACCACAGAACCAGATTGACATTTGTTTTTACATGCTCTTTGACCCTATGAGGTAACCTCTACTTTTTATCCCTTTGACTTTGGTCAGTTATCATTGGTTGAGCAGCCCTTATGTACCAAGCAGTGCCCAGTACAGTGTTAACAAGGTAGCCATGGTCACTTGCTTCTCAGAGCTTGAAAACTTCCTGTCCTTGATTTTGTACAATCAATAAGGCAGAGTTAGACTAGAAAAAAAAAGATGAAACAGTCACACGTGAAAGAGAAGTCCCTTTTTTTTCTTCAGGAAGACACTATCTTAGCTTAATTTTTTTTTTTCATCTTTAAAACCTAGACCCTAAGCAATTGTCAATATTCTTTTCATGTTATGCTTGTTAGCCCCCTCTGCAGGCCACCTAGTGCAACTCCCACTCTGAAGCTCTTTGCCAACTGTACTTTCACAATCGGCAAAAGAAAAACTGTTATGTTATTGGGAAAAAACTTGATTCACACATGGCATTTTACTCTTGAAGATTAATAACAGAAGAACATGTTTTTCCCTGAGAAAGTCAATGTATGAAGTAGAATCTTGCCTAATAGTGGGAATTCCTTTAAAAAAATCCCTTTGCTTACTAAACAAAGCCAATCTGCTTTATAAGCAGAAAGAAAACTTACTTTTTCAGAAAGTCTAGGACAAAGCTCGCTGGAAAAGAAACGTAAAAAAATAAATGCTGTTAAAAAAAGCTAAGTAATGGCTTGCTGTCTCTGAAGAGTACATTTTATTTTTGCAATATTTGTAACCCACACCAGGCTGAAGGGATTAAACTAAGTACCCTTCAAAGACTGAGACTCAAATTGCCACCCGGCCCCGGCCGTTGGCTATGCTGCCCATGTGTGTCCACCCCCATGAATCACATTTGCCTCACAAAGAAATTCCCAGACAGCATGTCCTCTTGGCCATGTTCTCTCCCATCAAACTACACTTTTTTTTCTTCCTACATTACTTCAGGAAAGAGTTATTGCAGAGGCCACAACTGTTTTAAATTGGACCAACTTTACTTATGTTGAACCCCTAACCTGATCATATTCAGCAGCAGCCTGGGTAGACAAGTCCCCAGTGTTAAGACACGTAGAGAGTCAAGGTCCGTTAAGAAGAAAAGTCTTCAAGAGAAAGACACCTCCTACATGGAACAATGGGCTTCTTAGCATCTTAACAAGGACCATGCTGGTTTCCACCATTGTTAATCCCTCCAGATTTTTTATCATACTTACTAGAATAAGTATACGGAAAACAAACTTTTTGGAACTATCTGATGTCATACTTGAGATAACAGAACAAAGAGATAACAGATCAAAGAGAAAAAAAGATGTCTCCACATCTGTATCCCAGAGGGTCAGCATATTACCATTATCACCACAAGAATCTAGGAATTCTAAGAGAAATGCTTGTTTTGAGGAATTCCCATCCATATGCAACTCAGATTAGTGAGTTATGTTTGTTTAGGAGTTCAAGTATATACAGTCAACAAAGAAAGCAATTATGAATTTTTAAATTGAGTAACCATCCATGAGTTCTCTCTCCCCTCCTTTCCTCCCTCACCCCTCCCTCCCTCCTTCCCTTCCTTTCCCTCCCTCCCCACTCTCTCTTTCTCTCCCTCTCCCCATCTCTCCCTATCTATTTTCCTTGCTAACCCCAGAAACTGAAAAAAAAATCAAATCAATTTATAGAGGTTGGGAAAAGTAGGGGCATACAGTAACACTGCCATATGTGTGATTTTTGTTCCTTGTATGAAATAATATTTAAAAATACAGTTATTTCACCAAAGAACTGAAAATCAGCCTGTTCAAACTTTTAAAAAGAATGTGATAGGGCTTCAGACAGAGCCAAAAAGTAAACAGTGCCAGGCTCATGTTACCCACGTTTACTCTAAAGACAGGATTCCAGCTCATGAGTTGTGCTTTGTACCTGGAAAGAAAAAGGCAGAACTTTTGTGGTAATTTAAACATTCAAGTCCCTGGGAGCCAATAAGAATTGCCAGTGAAATAAGACCTGCTAGATCTGTGTGTGTGCAGATCAGCACAGCTCATGTGGAATCCAACCCCTGTTCACATAAATTGTCTTACCAGGGTCCTGGAGTAAATTTAGTGCATGTAGACTAAACTTAAATCTCCTTATGCTCAAATCTCAAAGCCTAAGAGATTACCAAATAGGACTCTAAATTTCCTATTTTCTTGAGAAAGTGATACTTGGAAATCAATACAGCCCTTCAAGTTAAACTTTATGAGAATGAATCTTCTGTGCAGTTGTGTTAAAGGGCCTGGAAACCCCACTGCCTTTCTCCAACACAATATCCCCCACAGGCTTGTTCCTTAATGGAAGAGAAATAATCCTGGGAGTAGCAACCTCCAAGTCCCTGAAGAGAAGTGGGGCTGAGACAGAGGAATGGAAGAGAAATAATCCTGGGAGTAGCAACCTCCAAGTCCCTGAAGAGAAATGGGGCTGAGGCAGAGGAATGGCTTTGTCTGCTGACACAGCAATCAACAGATTCAGGGACCCAGGAACCACATTTTTATTTTGACTTTGTCTTTGACATCTATATGATCCTGCATAACTCATCAGCAGTATTTCCATCACCACTCATTTTCTTATTCCTAAAAGACTCTATCTTAAGGTGGAGGAAGAGATGATCAAGAAAACCCCTTATGAGTGAATGAAGACTAAAGTAGAAGGTAGCTGTCCCAACAGCTGATTCTGTAGGTCCTATTCCAGCCCTCATCTGCCTGTGTCAAGGCACTGCCCTTGCAAATATGCTTCTCCTGTGGACCTAGACTGTGCCCAGAGTCTACCCACCCCACAGAGCACATTGGTGATATCCAGCAGTCAATTTGCCCCCGCCTCCATTCCATGTGTTTGCACAGAATAACACTGTGCAGCATGCCAGAGAAGATGGAGACTTCTTGAAGTCTATAGAGTCAGTGCAAGAAACACAGCAGGTAAACCCATGTGAGCCATTGCTCACCTGGTGCACAGCATTCACACAGAGACCAGCTTGGTCTACATGGCAAATTTCAGGCCAGTCAGGGCTACATAGTGAGACTTTGTCTCAAAAAACAAATTATTTAAGCATTTAATATATATATATTATATATAATATGTGATATATTATTACATAAATTAAACATATATAATATTCTATATTTGGGGGATATATATGAGTGTGTATATATGTGTGTGTGTATATGTGTGTGGGATATATATATATGTGCAAATGCCTTATTTTCCTTACAAATAGGGGAAACCCTTGGCTGGTGGGAAGCTTGCACTGTCAAATACAGGTTTTCTATCAACTTTTGTTCTGCCTATAGATAGCACTGGTCCTCTTAGTCACCAATTCCCATTTCTGATGAGCACATCTCCTGCATATGTGTGGGTATGAAGCTAGGAATCATTCTTGCCTTCATCCTTCCTGTGCCTGTACCTTGTCTGTTTTTTTTTCCCTCCCATTTATTTGACATTATTCTATTAAAGACTCTTGTGAACACCATCTTTATTGTGTTTGCTATGAATTTCCTGCCATATTTCAATCTACTTAAATGTAAGGCCACATCTTTTTGTTTTTTATTTAAATTCTTTAATCACCACTCATATTTACATATCCATCCCCTCCATTCCCTCACCCTCCCATCCTCCCATGTTCCCCACAAACCCCCCAAACCATCCCCCAACTCCTCCCCAGGGACAGTGAGGCTCTCCACCAGGGACCTTCTCAAGCCTGATTCCAGCTGCTCAGGAGTTAGTGCCAAGACCAACACATTAGCTTACCTCATATCTCCAACGCTGTGAAAGAAAGTGCACCAAATAGCCTCCCTGTGAACAATTCATGAGGTGGCTGGTAAGAGCCCCAGAGCCAGCCTTGCAGAGGATTTATTTGCAAGTAAATTGATACCAGTGTTATTTATTGGAGTGTTGGTCCTGCCAAGGCTCCATTCTCAAGCTGGCATTTGAAAGCCCAATGAGAAATGTGTGCTCACAAATGTGAATAAATAGCTTGTGCAGGTTGCTTCTTGGCAATTTGGATTTTGCCTGTTGGATTGAGCCATGTATAACTCTGCAACATTCACTTTTTTTCTAAGGAGTTGCTCAGAACATGCACTGCTCACTGTCCAAGAAGGACAGGACACAATCCCAGCTCAGAGCTGAAGCTCTGCCAACAGCCTTCTCAACAGTGGAGTTTCCCCAAAGATAAGAGAGAAAATTTGGGTTCTGTGATTGAGGTTTTGACCTAAATGTTCATTGTTACTTATCTTCCCATGAGTTCTGCTTCACCGAGTTCTTGAATATAACCTTTTAGTGAAACTTGCAATCCAGAGAAGAGGCACAATTACTGCAACACTCTCTTCCAGGAATTGAACAGAGTTAGCTTTTCTTCATGGTGTGTTACCTGTGAGCTCTGTGTGTGTGTGTGCCTAAGTACATGTGGAGACTCGTGTATGTTCTGTTCTGATGCAAGCTTCAGATGTGGTAAGGGACCCCAGGGAATTCAAGATAGACTAGCAAAGGAAAGGCACACAAGCACTGACTGGATTAGTTAGGGCTATGCATAAAGGAAAACAGGCTAAATTCAAGCTTCCTCTGTGGGGCTGTTTGATAGCATTTTCTGCCATGAATACGGAATGAACATTTCACCTAGCTGACCATCCATTGTGATATTTATAATATTCTTACTATACCCAACAATTGGATTAAAAATTAGTCTAATTTATAACCACCCACCTGATGACCCCCAAGTTTCAAGAGAACCTTTGAACAGAGATAACATTGTAAGGAAGGTTTGGGCTGGTCAGTGCTGGACAAATGTGAGGATCCAACTGCATTGGCGGAGTTCTTGGTTCTTAAGGCCCTAGTTCCTGAGGGGAAGAGGGAGTTATGTGCTCTGGAAACAAAGGTGAGAGTAGTAGTTTCTTAGTCTCCGTGGACTGCTATGGAAACAAAGTTCCATAAACAGATTGCCTTATTAATATGAACAACAGAAATGCATTTCTTACAATCCCAACCATCAAGATATGGGCAGGCTCAGTATCTGGAAATGCCTCCTCTCATTTAAACCTCTGTGTGTGATGCATGCATTCATGTGTGTGAGTGTGGGTATGGTCATGCCACAGGAGGCATGTGGAGGTCAGAGAACAACCTAGAGTATTGGTCCTTACCTTCCACACTGTTTGAAAGTTTCTTATTGTTTGCTATTCGATGTGCCAGCCAGCTTCTCTTGTCTCTGCTTTTCACCTCATCATAGGGACACCAGAATTACAGACCCTTTCTACCTCTTCCATCTTTACATGGTACTCATGCTTGTTCAGTAGGTCCTTTATCCACAGAACCATCTCCATCCCCAAATGACTTAGTGATAAGTATTGGATCCCCAGTTATTGGGTATTCTCTGCCAATGCAATAAGCCAAATCAAACTGAATTAATAATATCAGGTTTTAATAAACAGAGCAAAGCAACACCCAGGTGACTCTCAAAAAGGCAGGAGACAAATCACATGGCAGGTAGGGTGACAAGGTCTTAAATACCCTGTAGGCGTGGTAATGAGCAGCCCCAGGGGAGGAGCTGACCCTTGGTGGGCTTTCTGAGGGGCTGGGTCTGGAATGGGAGGAATGAAACTGGAGCAGAGATTCCCAACACTCATGGGTTAGGATTTCCACACATGAGGGAAATACATACACTCAAACCATAGCCAGAGAAAAGCAAACATCTTGATTCCCACTGTCTGAGCTAATGGAGACAAGCAGGTACTACCTGGTCTTTCTTTTATGATCTTTCTTCTCCATGACCCCATGCCCATGCAGGAGAGACAGGCTCATCTGTGTCTGTTTCCACTGCAGTCAGTAGTCAAGAGCTGGAATAACGAGGCCAACTATCAGACCTTACATTTTTCCATCTTCTTGGTTCCCAAACCTTTTTCCCAGGTACCTTTCTAACCAAATTGAGCCATGACTCTTCCATCACCACTTTTCACTAAAGTGATGGGAGGATCCACTTGCCATTTCAGTTTCAGTAATCAGCCTTGTTCCTATGAGATCCTCAGGCCTAGGGTCTTGTCTGTATGCCCTGCAGATCTGAAACCTTGGGGTTTGGCATGTCTGGCTTCTGACACCCACAGTCAGGGATATGAGAAACTGACCTGTGGTGGAGAGCTAGTGAGTAACTTACTGCATGGAATGAACCTTCCCAATAAGCAATACATTTACTATTCCAAATCTTCTGCCTAAGTACCAGTGTGCATAAGGATCAGAATTAGTGATAGTCACTAAAAATGGTCAAGGTAATGGCTTTAGTCTGAATGTCATCCCTGCATTCCAAAGGTTCAATGCCTGACTCTCTAAGACTGCAGACACAGTATTTTCATTTCTATAGTGTCAGGGTTGCTGCCTCTAACCGCTTCTCTTTACTGCTGACCATTGAGCTAGAATCGATGTAGTGTACTTCACACCATGCATCTTGCTCTATTCAGCAAGACTTCCAGCCATGATTGTCTGCAGCTGAGCTTGCCACTAAACGTACATTAGCAAGACCTGATGGTGTCTCTTCAAAAGCTTGCGTGAGTCAGGCCTTTCTTAGGTTTTTGCCTTGAAGTGATGTTTACCCCTCTGGTTTCAAGTTAAAGAAAATAGTTTATGCTTTTGCCACAGTAGAAGCTGGGCACTGACATGAGAAAATCTAGAGTGGGGGCTGGAGAGATGGATGGGTGATTAAGTGTGCACACTGTTCTTGCCAAGGACCTGAGTTCCATTCCCAGCCACCACACCCTGTGACTTATAACCACCTGTACACCAGCTTCAGGGAAATCCAATACCCTTTTCTGGTCTCAGAGGACAACTGCACTCACATGTACATGCCCACATAATACATGCATACATGCACACCTACACATAATTAAGAACAAAATAAATCTGTTTTCAAATATATATCCTTCCATCTTTGACTACACTTTTTCAAATGAAGAAATCTATAGGGGTTGGGGTAGAACTCAATGACCAAGTACTTTATCTAGCCTGCTCAGAGACCCTGGGCTCAGTCTCTGGCACTGCCTAAGAAAAGAAATGCTTGACACTTTATTCTTCCATTAAATTTAAAAGTAGAAATGAAAGGGGTACTCTGGTAAGGCCCTGGAGCCAGGTCTGTGAAGTGGCTAATTTGATGTCCTCTTGTCCAGGCCAGTGAAAGACGTGTTCATCTCATCGTGTCCCGCCAGGTTCGACAGCCCAGCCCAGACATCTTTCTAGAAGCTGGCCAGATCAGCAATGGCCGGTGGTCCCCAGGCCCAGGGGAGAGGAACATGGCTTCTAAGGTGAGGCCCAGCCAAGTGTGTCTGCAGCTCCTGCAAAAGGCTATTTCTTAGGAAAGCTGTATACTTTAATGTCTCTAAGGGCTATCTCTGGACTTTGTCATTTCAAGAAGTGCTACTCATGAAGCTAAAAGGCCAAGGTCCTATTTTCATACTTGGGAGGTAACAGGTGTCTCCTATCCAAGCAGGAGTGGGGAAGGTGTCGGGGGTGTGTTTAAATCCCAGCTTGCAACCTGTCCATAAAGGACCAGATTTCCAGCCTAAGTCAAATGTATGTCATATTTTAACTAAGTCTCCTTCTGTTTAAGGATATTTTTTCCATCCACTTTGAAATGCAACAAGAAGTTTGCTTGGTTTCCGGTGTTTGAGTTTCCCAGTCTGCCTGGAAATGATGACAATTCCCTGCTATTTTTAATATTTTTGTGTTTATACAAGGGACTAGGAAGATACTTATAACACTTGAAACCCATAGAACATTAGGGAAGGCAGCACTTAGACAAGCCAGGAATACAAGTCTTGTCTTATGGCATTCAAATTCAGAAATTAATATTCATTTATTTTGTGGGTCTAAGTGTGTATGCATGTAGACATACATGTGCTGTGGTACATGTGTAGAGATCAGAGGACAACTCATGACAGTTGCTTCTCTCCTCCCAATTTATTGGTCCCAGGGCTTAAACTAACATCATCAGGTTTAGTGGCAAGCTCCTTTACTTACTGAGCCATCTCAGTGGCCCCAGGGAAAATTTCAACTACTGTGTACCCAGCAGAATGTATCTGTGAGTAGAATACTTCCTTCCACCTTTCTCTTTGCAGCCTTTCTTCAAGCAAGGTTAATCAGCTCAGTTTGTGCTTTTGTGTGTGGCTTCTATTAGATGCAAGGTCTATACTTCATTTAAATGGGCGTCTAATCAACACAAACACTGCCCATTCCCATGGTGATGATTGGCTTCTAGCAGCCACTTCCCCGATAGCTGATGACCTCATGTCACTTGTTACTAAAAACAAACAGGGCTGGAGAGATGGCTCAGTAATTGAGAACACTTGCTGTTCTTGAAAAGGACACCCCCCCAACACACCCTACCCCTGCTGCCAGTTGTTCCTAGCACCTACAAGACAGCTCACAACTATCTGTAACTCTAGTTCAAGGGGATCCAATGATCTCTTGTCACTGTTCACACATGGCACAAAATACCCATATACATAAAAATAAATCAATGTTTAAAAAAAAATCCAAACACTCTTATATGTGGCTTATTCCTGAAACAGAGAGGATGGAATGAATGAATGCCTTTTCCTTCCACATTAGGCCACAAGTTGAGGTGGTTTTTTTTTTTTGAGCAATATTTGCAAAAAAAAACCCATGCCTTTTCCTTCCACATTAGGCCACAAGTTGAGGTGGTTTTTTTTTTTTTGAGCAATATTTGCAAAAAAAAAAACCCCAAAAAACAAAACAAAAAGCAAACAAACAAACAAAAAACCTCTGCTTTATAATCAGGGGGCCTGAGATCACCTTTATCCTAAATCTCTAGCCAGTCATGTCTTCACAAACCCTTAAGTTCTATGTTTTTGTATAGAAAGCAATCTAGACAGACCAAATACACCCTGCTAAAGAATTTTCTGGATAAACTCCCTGATACCTTCTTTCAAATAAATATAGTTAATGTTTTAAAGTTATTCTGATAATATTAATATTAAGCTATATGTGAGATTTTAAAATATCTTACACAAAGCTTGTATCTATGTAATGAATTCAGTTGAATTAAGTAGAATGTGTTGTATTTTCACTCACTAAACTACTAAAAGAGAGGCCTGTGCCACAGTGAGGCTTCATAATTCCTTCTCGCCGCCTACTGTGAACTGTGGAAAAGCCAGGAGTATCTAATTAGATCTTTGCTAATTAGATACTGTATCATGTGTCTGAATTCCTGGAAATGTACTGGGAAACCAGTTCTTTTCATTCATACTTCTCCCTGCCTTCTGAAATACCTCCACCACCTGAAAAGTGAAGGACATGAACGTTTGATGATCGGTTTTTAAGCTGACTTAGGAAAACAACATGGCATTTGGAAATGGGAGTTTAAACGCTTCCAAGAAATACCAAGAAAGGAAAGCCAGGATTTGTGGGAACAGAAAAGCTATCCAGTTGAAGAGTTAAGCACTAACAGGCACCATCATTAGTCCTGGGGTCACCCATGTGAGTTTGGAAGGGGAACATGACCAGATAAGTGTCACAGAGACACGTTAACCATATCCCAGCAGTGATTTTTATAGCAAGCTATAAGGTGCATGGGTAGGCCCCGATGCTTTTTAGATGTCTACAGTGTTTGATGTTTTAAACCCTAGGTAAACATTCTAAAATATTCCATACAGCTTCTTAGTTGCCCACATTTTTTAATCATCTTGAACTACATTTCACCATAAGTCAGGATTTTAAGCATTAGGGAACAATCCAAGGTCTCCAAAGTAGGGAGTGAGGAGAAAAGACAGACAGAGAGGATTATGTCTGCTTTCCTCCTCCCACTCCAAGTTGGGCAACTCAGCATGAGGAATTTACTGAGAACTTGAGGTTTCTCCATCACTATCTTCAGTCTCTCTCTCACATACCTCTCTCTCCCTCTGGTGGGGAAGGCAGAAGGCCCATCAGAGACACAGGCCATGTGCAGTCTGTGTCCTCAGCCGCTCGGTTCTCTCTCTCACATACCTCTCTCTCCCTCTGGTGGGGAAGGCAGAAGGCCATCAGAGACACAGGCCATGTGCAGTCTGTGTCCTCAGCTGACTCTCTCGCTCAGTGATGTTTGAAAAGCACCAAAAATGGGAAAGACGGATAAAACAGGGCAAATTGCTGCATGTGTGCGTGGTTTGTGTGCATGCGTGTGTGTATTTACAAACATGGGTGCATGTGCATGCGTGAGTGTGTGCACAAAGAGGCTGCAGCATGGCATCAGGTGTCTTCCTTGGCTGTGCTCTATCATATTCCCTGAGGTTGGGTCTCTCGCTAAAGTGGAGCTTACCTATCTCCTTCCATCTTGCTCTGTCGATCCCTGAACTCTGGATTACACTTGAGTCACCTTTTTTATATGCCTGGCCTTTTATATACGAGTGCTGCAGATCCAGTGGTCCTCAGACTTGTGCAGCAGGGATTTTGGGCATCAAGTCATCACTCCAGGTCCATTTTGTGTTTTAATTCTTACACATAGAAAAGCTTGCTGAGCTAACAAGATGGTTCAATGGGTAAAGACACTTGCTGTCAAGTCTGACAGATTGTGTTTGATCCCTGGGACCCAAAGATGGAGCAAGAGAACCAACTTCTGTAAGTCGTCCTCTGACCTCTATATGCATGCTATAGCATGTGCCCCCAAAACCTCCACACACACAATAAATTAATTTTAAATGTGAAAAGATGTACTGATATTCGTGAACAATGAAGTTGACCTATCACTGTCAAAAATGGATGACTCCCTTGAGAGATTTGGGATACAGTTGACATTGTAAGCTCCAGATTTCTACCACGGTCTCCAGGCTGTTCCCTTTCTGTTTACTCTTCCATTTTGAAATGTAAACTTTTGGAATCTGTGATGCTCTAACTCTGTTATGTGATGGTTCTCTTTGTGTGTGGGTACCTGGGTACCCACTGAGACACTGGGTACCACCACCTTATTGATGCATTGAAACATGTGTGTCTGTGGAAATGCCTTGTGAGTGCATGTGCCATGTTCTTTGTATCTGTACCTTCAGCCCCTCCATCCTGCAGCCACTTGTCATGAGAAGGTTGTAAGTGTCCGAAAAGACCCCAGCGAATCTCTCGGCATGACCGTTGGAGGGGGAGCGTCACACAGGGAATGGGACTTGCCTATCTATGTCATCAGTGTTGAGCCTGGAGGAGTCATAAGCAGAGATGGAAGAATAAAAACAGGTACAAAATGAAGAGGATTAAGGTGCTGGGGTGGCGGAGCATGTGAGATGGACTTGGCCTTGATGGTTGTGCCTCTTTGACTAGGATGAGCATGTCTGCAGCTGTAGTCCAGGCTCACCCCTCTTAGTGCATGTGAGTGGGTGTGAGGCAGCTTTGCTGGGAAAGCTAGAGTCCCTAGATTTTCCAGGATGGACAATCAATGAACCTATGAGCCAAGTTACTTCTAAGGCATAATCCAGTTCCACACATTCTAACTGGTTCTTTGCCAGTAATGAAACTGATTTATGAATTGTGTCATTTTGTGGACTCAATTAGTTGATAGATGCCGATTCAGTGGTATAATTAAATATCATCGGAGGGACTTGCTCATTGGCAAGTAGACCTCTGCTATCCACTCCTGTTCTGGGCTTCTCTACATGAAGGGAGGTATGCAGTTTACCTCTGCAAGGATGTGTTAATAACACTGTTAATAACACTGTACAAGCATATGAAGAGGTTGCCTAGGTAGAGGAATTGTGCTTTTAAAGAGCTCAGATTTAAGACAAAATAAAATTTCTCAAGTACAGTCACTCTGCCTGCTGATCTAGAAGTTGGGGGTGGCATGGTACAGCATTCTTTTCTAGTCAGCAAGCTTTGTGGCCACCCTTTGTCATTTTCCTCCTGTCTACAATTATTCTGTATGAAAAAGATGATGTATAAGAGGCACACACCTCCTCAAAAGAACCAAGAGATAAATGAATTAGAAAGCAAGGAGAGGAAGGTACCTTTTAATATCTCTTGCTATTCGGCAAGCACCTGAGTGAAGAATGAGGAGGGGCGAAGAGAAGTGACATACAGGAGTATTTTTGCATAAAGTGGGCACTTAGCTACTGCTGGCTCTGTGCAGCACAGAGAGTCGGTGACTACAAATGGTACCTGATTTCCATCTCCATGAAAGCTCAGGTCCAGGCCTATTCTTGATCTGCTCTGGTCTCCCGAGCCAGACACTAACTCCTGTTTTGGTCTCCGTATGTTGGTAGCCTCCCATACACCAGGCTCTGTGTAGGCATGGGAGGACTTAGTCAATCATTCTCACTGTGTGCTAAAGAAAACAGGAAATTAAAAGAGCGAAATTGTAGGTTGTCTTTGGCTAAGTAACAAACAAAACTAGCTTATATAAGGGAACAGGTGAACATTGGTAAGTAATGTGTAGAGACTCCCAACAAGACATTCCCACATGCTCTACTTATGTGCTAATTGAGACCCAGTCTTGTGTCACTATGAGTTCAAGAGACATACTGATCCTCACTCTGTCCACATGCCCATTCAGCCTCTGTCCTGTCACACATGGAGCAGAATCCCATTTGCACTCACTGAGGATGCTTCTGCTTCTCTGGCCTCAGGTGACATTTTATTGAATGTGAACGGGATTGAGCTCACAGAGGTCAGCCGAACAGAGGCCGTTGCCATATTGAAGAGCACATCCTCCTCAGTGGTACTCAAAGCCTTGGAAGTCAAGGAACAGGAGCTCCAGGAAGACTGCAGCCCAGCAGCCCTGGACTCCAACCACAATGTGACCCCGCCTGGTGACTGGTCCCCATCCTGGGTCATGTGGCTGGAATTACCACAGTGAGTCCTGATTTAACACCCCTACAGATTATGTTTCTTAAACCACTCTTTCACCGTCTTGGGCTGATTCATGGGCACGAGCATCTTACTAATATGACCCAGTCTTGTTTGTGGGGCTGTTTGAACAAATTCTATCTTCTGTAGGCAAATGAAAGTCCGAATAGATATCTTAGGGAGTGTGTGAAAATCTATGGAGCACCTTCTAGATGCTTTCCTCGTTTGCAGAGTTATAAGGTGGCTTGTAAAGCAGGGAGTGTAGCTGACTGATAAAAACTCAGCCTGTGTCTACACTCACGAGCTGAGCTCTGCTCAAGTCATTTTCATCCTTGCATGGAGATGACTGGGAGCTGTACTAGCTGCAACCTCACTCAGGTTTCTAGAGGCTCTGACTACACATATAGAAGTAGAGCAGAACAAGGTTAAGTGTCTGGTAGTTGAGGATTCTTCGCAGAACATCTCTCTTCTGTGACTCTCCTGGAAAGTTCTTTAGGAAGCAGCTGGGTTGTCATTTTACTGAGGTACAACTGGAGCCTTACAATGAACTATAAAATGACCTGACCCGCTGACTTGAGATGAGGATTTGGACAGAACCCCACAAAGTGGCTATGTACATGAATTGTGATCATTCAAAGGATAGAAAAATTTGATGTTTGCTTCCCTGGACCAGAGCAAACTTTACTGGCCTTTAGATTGTTGCCTCTAAAGCTGTAGCTTAGATGTTAAGAATGGTGTCACTGGATTTGATGTTTGCTTCCCTGGACCAGAGCAAACTTTACTGGCCTTTAGATGTAAAGGTGTAGCTTAGATGTTAAGAATGGTGTCACTGAAGATGGATGTACTGGAGTAGGATGAAAGAGTGGAAGCAGGTGGGGTATTTGGTTTTGAAACTTTTTCTTGAAGGTAGAGATAGCTCTTACTTAGTAGCTTCACATACAATTTGATCCCGTTGTATTTGAGTCTCCACTAGTTGATTCATTACTTTTAAAATCAGTAAGTCTTTAAAAGTCCTTAGAAAGTGGAACACTGAGCATTGAGGCAATTTAAACACTTTACAACTGAGCCTAAGTAGGAGACTATTATGTTGAGTAAATTAATACACACATACTATGTGAATTGGTGTTTTGCCATGGGTGTCATGTCTGCTGGAACTGGAATTAAAGACAGTGATGAGATGCCATGTAGGTGCTGGGAATTGAACCTGGGTCCTCTGAAAGATCAGTCAGTGCTATTAACCGTTAAGTCTTATCTCCAGCCCTAAATTTTTCTTTAAAAGAGATTTTGGAACTATAATCCCAAGCCCATTTGTATCTTTTGTTTGAAAGCTACTTTGCCATTCTCCTCACTGTTCACATGTGCAAGGAGAACATCAAGCCCATGGCGCCTTACTTTTCCCATGAGCCACCTGGCATTGGCAGCAATTCTCTGCTCCTGCTGGAATGTCTGAACTGCACTCATTCCCTCCAAGAGTAAAAGGAAATGTGATATGATGGCAACACAAGAAGATAGGGACTTCCAGAACCTCAGAGCCTCTTCCTATCCTTCCTTTCCTCCTCCTCCCTGCAGTATTTAATGGCATGGTGAGGAGGTCAGAGGGTACCAGAGCAGAGGGAGCAGGAAGTCAGTATCCATCCTTTCCAGAACCTTCAAGTCACTCAGCAGAGGTCACCAGCATTACCAACGTCTTGAGTATTTTTTTCAGGGAAAGACTATGTCAGAGGTTGATCTTTTCTGCAAAAGGCTGGCGAGCTTGTGCTTAGAGAGTATGGGGCCTTGGCAACCACTCACTGCTGTTGTAGCATAAAGGCAGCCATAGACCATCTGTGAATGAAAGCTTGTGGGCTTGGCTGCCCATGGCTTAGATAGCAATGTACTCACTCAAACACAATGGAGGCCTGTGAGCTCATATGGTACAAAGCTTTTTAAAACTTACAAAGAAACCTAAGAATTGATTTTGGGAATCACGATAGTCAGGGCACCACCAATGTCCACTGCCTCCAGGGATGGGTCAAACTGTACATCTGTGAAGCCAGGTGGCAGGTTAGGTGGCTGTCACACCATTGGGTCACTTTTGTTCTTTAGGGATGGTACATGTGAAAGTCCGGATCAAGCTGTGTGAAGACAGAGCTGTCGCATTCCCTTCCCTCCACATGTGGTCTGGCCCTTTTACTTAATGTTCACATCTGTCCTGTTGTTTCAGCTCTTCAGGGACTCCAGATGTGTCTACTTGATATCTGCTCTTTCTTTATTTTTTTCCAGTTTCAGCTGTTGCCTTGTTTTCTTGGCTTGTTTTCAATCAGCTCTCCCACTCCCTGGTGTTGGGTCACATGGCTGATCCTTTGTGGCCACTTTCATTTCTGAGTGGTTTCTTCTCTTCTGTTTATGGCCTATCTACTACCCTTTCTCGGTGTATCATCAACGATTTTCTTTCCTTCCTTCCTTCCTTCCTTCCTTCCTTCCTTCCTTCCTTCCTTCCTTCCTTCCTTCCTTCCTTCCTTCCTTCCTTCCTTCCTTCCTTCCTTCCTTCCTTCCTTCCTTCCTTCCTTCCTTCCTTCCTTCCTTCCACCTCTACTCTTTGAAACAGAGCCTTGGTATGCAGCCCAGGCTGTACCGAGACTTGCAGCAATACCCCTTTCTCTGCCTTCCAAGTGCTGGGATTATAGGCATGTGTTATGTTACCATGCCTGTCACCATCTTTGAAATCATTCTCTGCATTGAGCTCTTGCTGAATGCACAGAGAAGTTGCTGAATAGGTATTTTAAATCATAGTAATATGATTATCAGTTTCATATTCTATGGAGCCATTTCAGTTGTGTAACATTTTTCTAGTTATTTATTTCTTCTCTGCCACCCCTCCCCACCCGCTCTCTTGTGTAGCATTATTAACTCTGTTGGTTCAAAAATCTTTGAGTGGGATAGTTTTTTTCTGAGAAGCTGTCTCCTGAAGGCTGATAAAGAGAAAGGATCAGAGTCATATTCTAGGTACTAGATCTGTTTGGTATAGGATTTGTATATTGTCCTAAACCAACTGAGGTCAGTCAGGCTAGCAGACTGCTCACAACACCCTGCCGTACTCAGGCTCCTCTTTCCCATGTAAGTATCTGCTTCGGTTCTCACTGCTTTGCACATGTCTGTCGTCTCTGTCAAGCTGAACCTGGGGAAACCTGCCTGCCCACTTCTGGTATGGTCAGAGCAGGCCTTCACTGTGGTTTTGTTGGTTCTTGTCCCACTATCATGCCCGCTCTACTAAATTTCCTCTTTGATGCCTTTTGCCCTTCGACAGCTCTGCTTTATACATGGTTACTCTTAATTTTGCTTAAGATGAACTGCATTTCCACTTCCAGGTTTCCTAGTCAATTTGATAGCGAAACTTAATGCACGAAGGAAACTTTATTCTGCCAGACTGAAACTTGAAACAATACACAAACTTGATACAACTACACTGTACTTTTCAGGCCCCAGTCCTGTCTTGCTCCTGTCCTAGGCAGGACTAAGTAGGTGGTACTCCGGATGTGAGTTCCAGTGGTATGGCTTCAGTTTCCATGGGGTGTGGGGTGGGGATACACTACACCTATAATCTTGAGTGCTCAGAGCCTCAAGAAACCTAGTTTTCCCCTTATGAACACAACAGCATTGTCTTACATGTCTCTAGCCATTTGAGGCAAGTGATGTAGAGTAAGTGATTCCAAATCACACTTTAGCAAAATTCATTTTAACCAATTGTTATACTTAGACTACAAATAAACCCTTAAAATACATACACAGAAATGTTACAAATACATTTCATTTTTCACTCAACAAAACCTAAGGGAAAGTATTTGTCCTAATATATGATCTTGCCAGTCATCTAAGGGCCTCCCCCAATGAAGAAGCATGTGTCAGCAAGCCTAGAATCAAGACAACCATAGCATTGTATCTCGAGATGCAGACAACATGGGGGCAGGAATCTAAGTGATAAGGGGTGCTCTGCTGTGCCATGCTGGCACTGCTTGTGTGGAACCAGTGGGTGTCAGGTTTGGGCAATGGCACAAAATAAGAGTCAGTGATAAAGGAGCAGATAAAAGCATGTTATTAATAGTGCACTTGTTGCTAGCACTGCTCCAGACATTCTGCCAGCTATACAAATTATCAGCTGCCATTCAGCAGGAGACTCGGAGGACACTGATGACATTTTACTTTGTTGGCTCTCAGGGCCCACATTCCACATCTGGAAGTCTTTCAAAGAAAGCATGCTCTCATCTGGACCAGCAGGATAGAAATATGCATTAACTCATTTCTCTTCTTGCCTAAGAATTTAACCCTTTCCTCTCCTGAAGCACCTAACGTATTTTAATTAGATTGCCAATATTGAATGGTAAGGAAACAGGCATCAGTGTTTTGGGGTTTTTTTTGTTTGTTTGTTTTGTTTTTTTCCTAGCTAAATACTTTGGACACTTTCATCATGAGATAGGTCTACTGTGCTGGTACAGTCAAGCCAGACAGTCTAACAGTAGCCCTGAAGTAACTAATGCTTATGAGCACTAAGCAAGAGCCAGGGTCCCTTCCCAGAGCCTTTCATGCTCTCTGCACACTTCGCTCTCTTGAGAATCATAGGCTCTGTGACTCAGTGGGAAACTAAGGCTCAGAGCAGTCATATGACATGCTCACACTGCATGATAGAGCCACAAGCTGAGTCTGCCATTCTTGACTTAGTCTAAGATTTTAATCACATTAAAATGCATTAGTGAATTGGAAGCATCCCTGAGAATGCTAAGCCTAGATTTAGCTTTAGTAATTTATGTCTTTTTGTTTTCTACCACAGAGTAAGTTCTAGAGGAACTCACATAACATTCCTGTACAGGATAGTACAGATAGCTTTCAATGCTGCTTGCCACTTAGGTAGGCTACAATTTCTAGTAATTTTCCTTACCACTTTCCTGTATGATTATGAAGTCCCATTAATCAAAAGCAAAAATGGCTATATCATTTCAAGAGCAAAGTTATTTTTAAGGACACATTGAACATTTGCCCCCAAAACCTACCTATATTCAATATGTAAAATGATGTATTTTAATGTTTACCATAAGGGTGGACCTTTCCAAAGAAAAACATGTCTTATATTTCTGAAGGTCTGGAACTGCTGTTGAGTAACTATTTGCTAATGAAATAATGAGTCCCTTATGTGCTAGGAAAATCCTTTTACAAATTTCAGAATCTAGAGGACAAGAAGATGTCATGATAAAAATATCTATTATTATTATGAAAGTAATAACTAAAGCTCAGAAGATCATTTAATAAGAGCCCCATTTGAGCAGATTTTTTAAAATCCCACTGAATTAGATGCTCTCCTTGCTTGGTTGGCTGAATGTCCCCTAATTAGAGAGATACTTTGTTTATGATCTGAAGTGTAACATAGTAGCAGGGTAGGGCAAACGGGAGAGCAGTAAACACAGGGACCCTAATGTAGGTACAGAGCCCACCTGACCCAGGAGTTAGCCACAGAAAGAAGCTCTACATTACACTCAAGGCTGAAATTAGTGGTAATATTTACAAGTAAGTTAGGGCAAAAAGCTAAAATATCCAGACAGGGCTAATGAATTTTTTTTTTTAAGGACAGAAACTGGTTACATGGTCAATTTTCTGTTGACAGGGTAAGTTTCATCTACTGTTTTCTCAAACTAGCCATTATTGATTTTCTTCTATGAAAACATTAATTTACAAATTTAGTGCTTTGGATTTGTGATTCCAATATAAAAACAATGATTAACTTTTTTTTATAAAGATATAGGTCAAATTATGACCAAAGTATTCAAAATCAGTTAATTCTCTATTATGTAATAATCCAAAGTAGGGTAAAGGAATCCATGATCTCTGCTGTTTTGACACCATGGGAAAAATCTTACAATTCAATCCAGCTTGGTTGATGGACTCAGTTGACATTGTAAGGCTAAGCTTTTTGTTTTTTAGAGGCAGTGCCTTCCTTGTCTTAGTATGTCTGACTCAAACCCAGGCAAAACGGTTTTTCAAATGCTTTGTTGAGTAAATTGGTATAGGAGGAAGGTTTGGAGAAAATTTAAAACACAGTAAGATTGGATTTGTGTTAAGTGTTGTCTTAGGGTTTTCTATAGCTGTGAAGAGACGCTATGGCCATGGCAGCTCTTACAGTTTCAGAAGTTCTGCTACATTGTCATCATGGTGGGGAGCATGGCCACGTGCAGGCAGACGTGGTGCTGGAGCAGAGTGCCACATTTTGCAAGCAACAGGAAGTTGACTTAAAGTCACACTGAAGGAAGCTTGAGCAAAAGAAATCTCAAGGCTCACCCTTACAGTGACACATTTCCTCCAACAAGGCCACACCTCCTAAGAGTGCCACTCCCTTTGGAGGCCTTGTTCTTTCATACCACAAGTGTTTTGCCTGCTAAGTAGATGTGTGTATTACATGCATGCCTGGTGCCTGGGGAGGTCAGAAGAGGTTATTTGGATTCTCTGGAACTGGAGTTACAGACACTTGTGAGCTACCATGAAGGTGCTGGGAGCTGAACTCTGGCCCTCTGGAAGAGCAGCCAGTGCTCTTAACTGCTGAGCCATCACTCCAGCTCTAAACCTTTGTGTCTTGAGCAGCTCAAGACTTCTCCTATCAATTCATTCACTGCAATAAAATTTCTCTGTAAGCCTAACCATAACCTCACCGGGAAAAATGACCAAAGCCCTTGCCATTCCGTATACCAAATCTTTCTCAATTAAGCCTAAATTGAGAGAATGAGCTCAGAGTAGGAAGAGAGCTCACATTTACATCCAGAGGGTAAAGTCACTTAATCTCAAAGGTCACTGATCAAAACCAGCTGCCAAGTTTCTCAGTAGGGAATGAAGTAATGCAAAGAAAGGAAAAAAAAAAAAAAAAAAAAAAAAAAAAAAAAAAAAAAAAAGGCCACCAGTCCCAACCATCCAGCGTGACTCTAAAAGGATTTAACATACTGAGATCTTGCTGATGCAAAACAGGCAAATATTCAACACAGTTAAAGGAAAATAAAAGGGTAGAACATGGGTACCTTCTTGAATGGATGCTACAGGAGGACAAGGATTTTGCATATTCACTTATATTCCACCAATGTCAGGATGGTATATATATCTAAAAGCTGACCCAAAAGCTGATACCTTCTCCTCTATGAAGAGTCTAGGAAAACAGACACACTTGTAACTTAAGTGGAAAACATTAATAATTTTAGATAGTTGTGTTTATAGATGATCAACACAAACTATCTGGACAATTGAATAAGGCCCACAGAAATACCTACTAAAAAAAAATAAAACAGAACACAACACAACAATGGTCCAAAGAATGAGAAGGCTTAGTTTCCGAGACTGCTCTATTAACTATGTTTTAAAGCGTTATGACTGGAAGATTTGGTCACACCCCTAGAAAGGAATCATCTAATTACTTTTCTACCAAAAACCAAACAAAAAAACTGGACATATACCCACCCCATGACAAACCTCTATGTCCAAAAATATTTATATTATGATTCACAATAGCAGCAGCAAAATTACAATTATAAAGTAGCAACAAAAATAATTTTATAGTTGGGGGTCACCACAACATGAAGAACTGTATTAAAGGGGGTCGCAGCATTAGGAAGGTTGAGAACCACTGCCCACCAAGATGAAAATGTGTGACGCTTTTCCTAAGGAGTCAATCTGGAACTTAACAGTGTGATATCCAGTAGACCACTGCTCCTACAGGATGCATGTGCTGCTGACAGGAGGTTTACTGGGAAATAAGACAAGTACTTAACAGTAAAAATGAGTTTCCACTAAATAAAATTCACTTATACTTTTTATTATTTCAGTGAAAGAAAATGTACATACAAAGCAAAAATTGGGCATGAAAAAACTTGTATTAGTCAGGGTTCTCTAGATGAACAGAACTGATATATATGGGATTTATTAGAATGGCTTATAGTATATGGCCCAGCTAGTTCAACAAAAGGTGTCTACCAATGGAAGGTCCAATAAGCCATTGGTTGCTCAGCCCCTGAGGCAGGATATCTCAGTACAGGCTAGAATCCCAAAGACTTATTATGCTTTAATGTCAGTGAAGGAATGGAGTTGCCAGCGAGAGCAAGAGCAAGTAGGCAAAGAGAGCAAGATTTTTTTCTTCCATGTCCTTTATACAGGCAGCCAGCAGGTGTGATGCAGAAAAGATCTGGATTAAAAGGGGCAGAGGCAGGCAGATCTCTGTGAGTTCAAGGCCAACCTAGGACAGCCAGGGCTGTTACACAGAGAAACAGTCTCAAAAACAAACAAAAAAACCAAAACAAAAGCAAAAAAGTGGGTCTTCCCACATCAAGTTATTTAATTAAGAAAAAAAATCCCTCACAGGTATACCCAACCACTTGAGTTTATTCCAGATGTAGTCAAGTTGCAACCAAGAATAACCATCACAGTTGTTCAATGATATGGAAGACCAACAACTAGTATAATGACCAGACTCCATTGATTAACATTTCACAAGATCATTTTTATTGATTATCAAAAAGCAATTGATTATTTTAAGGTACAGTCTATAAACAAAACATCTTCATTTCTACCAACATAAAAATGCTATCTTCTAGTCAAAGCAGTTCCTAGACCATAGACACACATATGGTAGACAAGGGATCCCAGAGCCAAATCCAGCTCCCGACACCCTTCTCTACTGCACCACAGCGGTTTGCACTTGGCTCTAACAGCCACAACTACCCTACTGAGGATTCTACTCATTCTTATGCCAGCTGTGGTCTCCCTCTCCAGTTCCTTTTGAACTTTCCACTTCAGTTTATGCCATGTTGATCTTATTCCTGCAACTCTTCTATTCTTCTTGACTCACTTCCCATTCACCTTAAGGTACAGTCTATAAACAAAACATCTTCATTTCTACCAACATAAAAATGCTATCTTCTAGTCAAAGCAGTTCCTAGACCATAGACACACATATGGTAGACAAGGGATCCCAGAGCCAAATCCAGCTCCTGACACCCTTCTCTACTGCACCACAGCGGTTTGCACTTGGCTCTAACAGCCACAACTACCCTACTGAGGATTCTACTCATTCTTATGCCAGCTGTGGTCTCCCTCTCCAGTTCCTTTTGAACTTTCCACTTCAGTTTATGCCGTGTTGATCTTATTCCTGCAACTCTTCTATTCTTCTTGACCCACTTCCCATTCACCCATGTGAGTATAAACCAGTATTTCCAAAAGTCAATAGAAATTAACAAAGTTCATTAGCTTAAGTTAAAATTATTTTCATTGCGATTATTTCATTGTGAATCATTAATTCAAAGAAAGTTTGCCTTCTTTAAGAATTATGTAAACCCACAAGTAAATAAAAATTATATTCCCTCAGTATGCTCCACTGTGGCTTATCATTAGAAGTATCAAGGCATATCCAATGCTTGATCCATATAAGTCCATGTATTACTTTGCCCTTAGCCAAAGCATAGCCATCTTTCTCAGCAGAGACAAACAGAACACAATAACGAAGTCCTTTTGTTGAAAGAGTAGTGTATTCAGCTATGAAAAAAGAGATCAAACACAAAAACTGCTAAGAGGATGAAAAGTTACTGTCATTTCTGAGGGAGACATATTCATTTACTATTTCACTTTTTTAAACTGTCCAAAAAATGAATGAGAGATGAAGTCACAACTAGTAAACTCAACTGTACATACACTAATTATATTCTATTTCAGGTACTTATACAACTGTAAAGATGTGACACTACGGAGGAATACTGCAGGAAGTCTGGGCTTCTGCATTGTAGGAGGTTATGAAGAATACACTGGGAACAAACCTTTTTTTATCAAATCCATTGTCGAAGGAACACCAGCATACAATGATGGAAGAATTAGGTAAAATAATATTCAAGTATTTTGTTTTCTACATGTAAAAACTTGGCCCCACTTGAAAGAAAGCATATATTTACTATACATTCTTGAAGAGTAAGAAATTAAAACGTGAGTCTATCAGTTAGGTTTAAGAAGTTCAAAATTAAGCTGAGTGGTGGCGGCGCACACCTTTAATCCCAGCATTCAGGAAGCAGATCTCTCTGAATTTGAGGCCAGCCTGGTCTACAAAACAAGTTCCAGGACAGCCTGGGCTATTACACAGAGAAACCCTGTATCCAAAAAAAAAAACAAAAAAACAAAAAAACAAAAAAACAAATCAACAACTACTGGCCTTGGTCCCATATTACAATTTCCTGTATCTTCGCAAGCTGAATGGAGCTTGTAGAATTTAAGTGAAGAGGGGGAAAAAAATCTAACTAGAATTAAAATGGACAAATATGGCAAACACTAGAACAACCCAAGTCCACTATGAGTAGCTTCAACCATAAAGTAATTGTGATCCCAATCCTGTGTTTTTTCTTAGATGTGGTGACATTCTTCTCGCTGTCAACGGGAGGAGTACGTCGGGCATGATACATGCCTGCTTGGCAAAGATGCTCAAAGAACTTAAAGGGAGAATTACTCTCACTATTGCTTCCTGGCCTGGTACATTTTTATAAAACCAATGATGGATCTTAGAAAACAGAAAAAAGATCATAGGCTAGGTAAAACTGTATTTATCTTGTCAATTTTTATATTTAAAGAATATATTGTAAAAAAAATACCAGAAAAAGTATGATATTGTGAAAACAAGTTAACACCTCAGAGAATGTTTTCAAAAATAAAAACTTACCAGTTTTTATTTAGTGTGGAAGATTTCTCATCACTCCAAACCTTTAAGTTTATATTTTTCTATTCAATAAAAAGTCCATAAAAATCTAAAATGGTTTGTATGACACAATTCAAATCAATTAAAAATATGGTATATGTAGAGTTCAAAAAAAAAAGCACATTACGGGCATTTAAATTTAATGGTTTGAGAGTTAAAATGGGAAATAAATCTTTTCTAAATGACAGCCGTCCTCTTACCTGTGGCTCTAAGTCATTTTTTTCACACACCAAGTTCCAAGCCACTACCGCTGCTGCTCTATAGTCCCTCCTGGGCTATGTCCATATTTTAAGCTTGGATTTTTGGCTTTACTAAGTAATAACTGACCTAATACTACTGTCATTGAGCTTATTTTTATCCTTAATATGGCAATGGTATAAAAAACAACCCACATTCTACTCTACCAATGAGTCTTGGAAAACTGTGAACAGCTGCCAAACTGCCTTGACTCTGGCTCAAACAAACGGCCATGGAGTGGTCCAGTGCTGTGCTAGTCACAACTGTGTCTATACATACATGTGCCTGCTGAAAAGTACACAGCTACATGACAGGGCCACCCAAAGGCCTCCTACCTTGTATGAATTTAGGTATAAAAATGGCCTTATTTAGTTACCACGGACCCAACATTAGAACACCGAAAACCTGCAATCAAAGGCAGTGATATCAAGGAAGTGCCCAAGTTCTTGAACATGCAGGAGTAATAAGATGAAGAGTGGCCTGATTGCAAGAGGAGTCCTTGCAGCACCTTTTCTGCGATAGTATCTGACTACTAGAAAGCTGGCCAAGGTGAATCCTCGACCTTCATCATACTGTGAACACACAGCCAAGCTTAGCTCTAAATCCCCTGCTGACTCATTCAAATTACTTTCTTGGATATAAAGTCATTTCTGTCTTTTACTCTTTAAATATTACAAGACAAAGATTTTTAACTTAACACAAAAAATGCACATTTTTATTTTGGAAAAGAAAAAGTTAACGTTTCATTCTAACAGAACAAGATTAAAGGTATATTTCTTCAACATTATCCAGAAAAATAAGGAGATTTATAACATCTATTTCTGGGACTGACAGACATAAAAGGTGGAGCCTATTCGGCAGGGGCAGCTTCGGCGCTTTCCTGTTCAGGGACGGGCTCACTGCCAGCCTCCTTTCCTTCTTTGCTTCTTTTAGACTTTTTGTGCTTATGTCTCCTGTGACTGTCCCCTTCTTCACTTTCATGACGACGTCTACTGTTACTGCAGGAAAAGGAATTGTGTTTAACAATGCTTAGTAACAAAGTGACAAAATCAATCTGGTCTAAATAATCAATAAGCCTGGATTTAGGTTAAACCCACTTGTTTTCTGATGAACATATTTTGCAGGATCATTTTGCATTAGAATTTACACAGATTATGTTATGGGGTTACCTTCACCCACACCATCCCAAATTCCCCTCTACCAAAGAGATAGTATAAAACAAAGGAAAAAACACCCAGATATCTTATTTTGTCTGAGAGACATTAAAAGAAATGTAATCTTGTTCGATTTGAAAATTGCCATTGATGCCCATAAGGAAGGAACTACGACAGACTGTTCCTGGTCTTTTACTTAGAAACAGTCTTATCTCTCAGTTGGTTATTGGAAGTATTTTCGATTCCTAAAGGGCAGACTGTCTTTGCCCTTCCACCCGAAAACTAAGGTGGGTCACTATTAAAGAGCAAACCTGCGAGAGGACTTGTGTCTGGTTTCTTCCTTCTCTCTGTGACGTCGTTCTCTGTGTCGTTCTTCTTTTTCCCGACTAGCTCTATGGCGCTCATAGCCTCTTTCCGCATATTCCCTGTATCTGTATCGCTCTTCATCACTGAAATGGAAGCGGAACACCGATATTAAGACTATTAATTTAGCTGACTGTAAGAGAAAGAGCTTCTTAAGCCTAACAGAGGCTTGCAGGCTAACTTCTTATATTGGAAAACAAATATTTCATGAACCAAGCCACAAATCAGTAACACACCTAACTTAAGGAAACAGCACACTAGAAAAGTGGCCATATGTTGTTTACTTCTGCTCTGTGCCATCACAGTTTTAATGACAGGAATCATATTAGTATGTCACATTTTATTTCTGGAAAAAAAATGACACCTGAAATTGATTTAAATTTTAATCATCAGGTTATTTCTTTTTGCTCCTAGTTTACAATTAAATGGATTTATATTTCTCAGACATCTATAAAGAAATTTTATTTGCAACATACTGGCCATATGGTAAAGATACTAAGAATGTATGTCTCACAATGGCTTCCACAATAGGAGGCAGGTAGATAATTTTTTCTAAGTGCCTGATATTTACCAGAAGAAATAGTGTAATTTTCCTCCTGTGCAGAAGGATACACATGAAGACAAGAGATACATCAATGCCTGCATACTGCACAAAACATACGAGCTGGACATCCTAGCTACTTTATCTATATTGCTCTCTGTCCCCACCCCACTCCACCCCATCCTCACCCAACTCTGACACATAGCTAAAAACTTCAAATGCACAAATATGAGTTAAAGCTCTATTTTCTGATTTTGGATAGAATTAGAGACTCACAAAACAGAAATGATTACCATAGTTAACAGGTTTTTTTTTTCTCTGACGTTTCCCTTCTTTTATATATCCCTTAACTGACATTCTTTTCTCCATTTTATTAATCCTTTAAGTCTTTCTTTTTTTTTCTTTTCTTCTCATTATACAGCAAATGAATTCACTATTCTTGCCTCACCTTCCCAAGTGCTGGGATTACACACATGTACTACCATGCCTGGCTTTTCTCTTTTTGTATTTCACATGGAAGTCAAGATTTTTTAAAACCTAGTATCAGAAAATTCTGTCATTGTAGAATACTGCCAAAAAGCTTCAGTTTTCAAAAATATGTCCAATACAAATAATTATCAATTTGTACGCAGCAACAAGATGTTCACGAACTTGGGTGGGAATAATAGCATCAGGGGAAAGTAAGTGGTATAAAACAACAAACCAGCCCGTGACCACCTAGCAAAAGGAGTGGTTCAGTAATAATGTTCAATGCCAGAACACACTACTGCCCAAATAAAGATCTGGGATATATTAAGATTGTAAAACATTTCATAAAAACATGTTTTAGGGCTGGAGAGATGGCTCAGAGGTTAAGAGCACTGGCTGCTCTTCCAGAGGTCCTGTGTTCAATTCCCAGCAACCATATGGTGACTCACAGCTATCTGCAATGGGATCTGGTGCCTCTTCTGGTGTGCAGATATACATGGAAGCAGAATGTTGTATGCATAACAAACAAATAAAATTTTTAAAAAAACAAAACATGTTTTAATGTGCACATAAACATATGTACATGTATGGGCACACCCATGTTTTTACCCTAAGGAGCATATCTTTAATAGGCAGTATACCATGACAGACAGTGCAGAGCGGCAGCATATCCACAAATGCCCAGCACATTCTACCTTTGCCACTTCTAACCCCAGAACCTCACTCCTTGAAATGTGTTTTCTCACTTTTAACTGACAGTCCTTTTTAAGGTTTCTATAAAAGCAACAAAAATATTCATCAAGCTCTTAGTGTGAGAGTAGGCAATCAATAAATGGAATTTTGGGGCCTAACAGGGAGTGGGCAAAGGCACTTGCTGCCAAGCCTGACAACCTAAATTTGAGCCCCAGGTTCCATATTGTAGAATGATTGAAATGACTCCTGCAAGTTGTCCTCTGACCTCTAAAGAGGCACTATGGGAGAAGCATGTGCACACACAGCATAATAAATAAATAGAACGCTTCAAAGAATTTAGTACCTAATTTTTCAGAAGCAGACCATTTCCTACAAAGGTTATTGGGCCTCTAATAATCTCTCTCCAAGGCAAACCAAAGCAGCACAGCGGCAAATGAACATTACAATTAATTCCATCAACAAATGAGGTTTCTCTAATGACTCAACTAGGCTAAGGAATGAAGGCCAGTTATTTTACAATTTTGTCATGTGTAGTCCCTGTTTCTCCTGCCCTTGCCCCAAAGCCAATTCTTGCTAGCTCTGAGGCCTTTAGATTCCATAGGCAGCAGTCACACAATGGGAACCTAAGAAGAACAGACTGCTGGTGAGTGTCCCTGCATGGAACAGCAGCACCTCCTCCACCCATTTTTGATAGGTGCAAGGGCTCCTCCAGGGCTGGAACTCATTAGAGCACATTTCAAACATTGTACAGCACCCGGCCTTCTTTCTGGCCCATAATTAAAGGGCCTTAAAAACAGATGTTAAAACTGGTCTCTCATTTTCAAAACAATGACCCTGTAATTTGTAATGCAACATGTACTTCATATATTTTGTTTTTCAACATTTTTGTCAGTCTTTAGAAATAAAAGCTTTCACTTCCCATGTGTATTTCCAAGTTCAGGTTTTCCTAGGACAATTCAAACACAGAATTTGTCTACCTTGGCCTTTCTGACCTTAGCCTTTTACTCATATGTAAGTAGAGCATGTAAGTCTTTACTACATCAGGACCTGTGCATATGAGCGAGGACCCCTTTATGATGACTTAAGAGAACTGCAGCAGCTCTGGAGAATTCCTTTAGATGTGGCCCACCGATGGAAATTTAGGTGCACACAAAGAAATTCCAAATGCTAAAGTTAGCTTATTTATGCTTAAAGAAAAATGAATATGATACTCAGTAAATCAGAATATCTTTAACTCACTGTACATATTGAAAGTGATAATTTTATTTTAAAATACTATATATTATCAAGTAATTAAACTTAAAGAGAAATTAGTTTTAGGTGACAAGACAGAAATCTGTAAGGGATTAAAATTCCGGTAAGGGTCAAGTGAACAACAAGATTTGAAACTTACTGCTTATGATAATGGGGTCCTCAAGAATGAAAGGAGTATATGATCTCAAATGACTTTTCTAACCACGCCTTGAGCATTCTTTTCCCAGTGACATCAAATCAAAGTGCAAAGTACAAATGAAGTGTGCAACACCCTCACACCCGACAAACCTGTTGAAAACGCTGGGGGTGGGGCTGTGATCCCGCTCCCGCTCCCTCTCTCGGGTCCGCTCTCTTTCTCTGTCCCGGTCTCTGTCTCTCTCTCGGTCTCTGTCTCTATCTCTGTCTCTGTCTCGGTCTTTCTCTCTTCGTGCGTAATAGTCCCACTGTTTGGTAGTGTCCACAAGGCTAGGCCATGAGGGAGCGGAACTGGTAAGATGGGGGAAGGCAACTAAAAGAAAAAGCACATTGAAATAAAAGGTTATGGAACTCTGACACTCTCCACTCAGCAATAAATTTCCCAATATCAAAAGCAGAAACCAGAAGACACTAGAATATCTTTGAACTATTAAGAGAAAATGAAATACAAGAATTCTATTTTAAAGACTTAGGTGTAGCTCTCTGAGTGAACACCTTTGTATAACATACACTCAGCAATGGGTTCAATACCCACATGTACAAAAAAACCAAAAATACCACAACAAAAAACTCAAAACAAAACATTTTAACAATAAAACAGATATTTGTAAACAAACAACAAAAAGTAAAGCAAAGCAAAACTTATTATCCAAGACAATGAAGAGAAATTCTTTTAGAAAGGAGACCTAAAATGAAAATAGCTGAGAAAATAAACCATATATTCCTTTTAAGAGGGCTGGAAAGATGGCTCAGCCATTAAAGGCTAAGCTCACAACCAAAAATATTCCTTTAAAGAATAAAATAATGAATTTTAAAACAATAGTAAGTTACCAGAGGAAAACTAAGATACATCATCTCAGCACTGAACAAGAAGAGAGTTCATGTATTATTTACATATTATTAAATACCCGCAACAAATTTCAAGAGAAACACCACAAAAATGGGAGGTGTATTCATAAAGAATAAACAACAAAAAACTGTAGTCGATCCACAAAGTCATGGAAGGGATGGAAATGGTAATACAAACATCTCAATAGCCACAATTAAAAACAACAATGATTCCATCAGTTACAAGATAGAGCTTGTTGACTTTTACTTTTAAAAGTCTATATTCTGAGGGCTGGAGAGATGGCTTAGTGGTTAACAATACTGGCTGCTCTTCCAGAGGACCTGGGTTTATTTCCCAGCACCCACATGGCAGCTCACAACTCTAACTCCAGTTCCAGGACTCCCCCTACCGGTGTCCATGGGCACTGTATGCACATGCTCATAAACACATGTAAGCAAAGCATTCATATACAGAAAAGTCTCTGTAAAAGTCTATATTCTGGATATATGACATAAAAACACACAGGGAAAGGATTGCGTTTGGGGTGGCTTCATAAAGACGAAGGGGTAAGAGTACTGGCTAGTATTCCAGAAGACCTAAGTTTCATTCCCAGCAACTGTATGGCAACTCCTAACCATCTTAATTCCAGTTCCTGGGGATCTGACTCCTCTCTGGTTTCCATGGGCACCAAAGAAGCTCGTGGTTGGTGTACAGACAAACATGTAGTTAAAACACCCATACTCACAAAATAAAATAAATTTTATGTTTTGTAGGAAAAGAAACTGGGTCTATTATTATGAAGTTTTAGGTCATAAGGAGCATGTCCTCCAGGATGATTGTGGGTATACATGTCTTCTTCTTTTACTCATTTTTGTCCTGACTAATGTTTTGCATCACTACATAATTCACAATTAAGTCATGGGTTTGTCTAAGTTATGAATGAGAACCTCTAAATCTGTGAGAAGAAAGAAAGAAAGGAAGAAAGGAAGGAAGGAAGGAAGGAAGGAAGGAAGGAAGGAAGGAAGGAAGGAAGAAAAAAGCTTCTCTCCTAATAGTCCTGTAAAATCTATTTTTAAATGAGGTCTCATTTCAGAAGCAGTCTTCAAATCATACCCAGAAAAAGTTATCATGTTACCTTGCTCAAGGAATGAGGATGAATTCTACATTCTATAGTAAACAAACAAAAAAAGGTAAAACAGAACCATATTTGTTTTTCTTGTAAAGCCTCATTTGGCTGGGATAAGGAAAACCTCTAACTCTCTTTTACTAGATTTTACAATTGGCTTTCTAATTAAAAGTTTGTCCCTGGGAGGAGAGCTGGGAGTGGTAGAAAGATGGCTTGTACAAGACCCTTGCGCTTCCTTATAATAAAAATATACACTATACTCACAGTTCTTAAAAAGTACTATCAGGCTGAGTCAGTGATCAAGAATGGCTTTCAGATATGGGCTAGTCACTGTGTTTCACTTGTACTGAAGCAAACATACAAGGGACAGAGTGACAGAAAAACACTCAATGCCATTAATAAAAGGTAAAAAGAAAACAAAGGAATTCAACGAGCAGTGCTATTTGAATGCTTACATATTGTCTAAACTTCAATACCAGCTTCCGTTTACATGAGGAAAAGATTGGGTATTTTAACTCATCTAAGATGCTGAACCAAGACCCCAACACAGGAAACCACAATTCCTTCTCACTGCTTCAGGGGTAGAGCAAAGGAAGGTAGCTTGTAACATGCTGGAGAATGTGGTGACTATAAAAATGAGAGCTTACAATGGGATACTCAGAAAGAGCAGGGCAAAGTGCTCCAAGGCGATCCCCCAGCCTTAGGGGAATGCTTTACTTTCAGTTTAATGACTGAGGACCTCCAAAGGGCTTATGACTAGAAAGAGAGCAAAGCAAGATTCCAACTCAGGCACTGTGACTAGAAGAGGAACACAGCCATACATTACCTTTAGGGGACTGAAAAGCAAATGTAAGTAACACAATTAGGTCTGAAACACCCCATAAGAGCTTGTTAAAGGTACTCAGAAGCATATCCCCAGGACACAGATTCCAGCACAGAAATGCCTTTGAAATTCATTAAAATTTCTTCCACCTTCAATGGAAGAAACAGGGTATCCATCATAATGTCCACCTCTGGATTACTTCTCGTAGGAAGAAACCACAGCATGCTACTCCGAAACAACACTTGTCAGGATGCTGCTGAGGTAAAGGCAACCGAGAAGCAGCATAGCTAAGAAAAAGCTTTCTGCTCCCTTATATTTGCCCACAGGCCTGAAATCAATCCACAAAAGCTCAGGGTATCCCTTGCTCTCTTGACTAGGAAGAATGCAAACTGACCACTGAAGACTTTTAGCCTGGACACCCCACCACTAAGCTCCTTTATTTATTAACAACTTCATTTCATTATCTTTCCAGTAGTAGGGTTTGAAGCCAGACCCTCTTACATGCTGGCCAAGCATTCATCATGGAATCACAGCCTGAGCCATCTATTCAGTCAGTTCATTAGTTGGTGAGGGCACCCTTAATTAAGGGTTATTTACAGGAACATGGATGGGGGGCGGTTATTTACAGGTACATGGGCAAGTGGACAATTCACCAATGGCTATGAAATGCCACAGAAGAAAATGCCTCTCCCTCCCTGAGCAACCATTAACTGGCTTCATACATAGCCTTAGGAAATGGTGGGGCCTCTTGGGATCTTTGATGGGCCCAGTCATTACAGGTAATCACAGTTGATGTGAGTTCATGTATGCGTGCATGGCCATGTCATTCCTGGAAGATAGACACTGCTTTACAACATTGTACCTTATCTCCTCTGATGTTATCTGAACCTTGCAAGGGTGATACAGATGTCCATTTAGGGATGGACATTGAAGGCACTTTTGGTCTCTTATTGCCTTTGTTACTGATGCCACATAAACCAGACTCTCCTAAGCCTCTGAGTCTTTCGTGTCACACAAGTGATACAAGCTAATAAACATGTTCTTCTCTTCCTGTCTGTCTTTGGGAGGATGTCTCACCTAACAACTGTGCATAGCTTTGTTTTCCCACCCATGTACATTCTCAACAGCTCCTACTCGTTCCCCACGTTCAAGAAGGCATAGCAGCTATCCCAGCCTTTCTCGGCACCCTGGAAGTCCATAATTTCCTCACAATTAATAGGCAGAAGGGGGCATTTTCCAATGTCAATCTAGCAACTTTAAAACTCCACATTCAGATTAACAGAAGCCTCATAGCCTGGTGGCAAGCATTCCTACTCCATAACATTGCATAGAGATACATTTGGTTTTATTGAGCTTCAAAAAATGCTGTTGTTTTTTTGTTTTGTTTTGTTTTGTTTTAATAAACTGAAAGTTTGTCGAAATCTTACATGATGGAGCAACCTATGTACCAACCAACATCAAAGTCTTAACTCTTTCAATTCTATGAAAGCTGAGCAAGGTAAGAAAGGTATAAATATCAATTTGAAGACAACAGAAGTTAGATTGTAATGCTAAAGAATCTCAGCAAAGTCTGGTGCAAAGTACAGAGAAGCTGCAGCAGGCTATCTAGAAGTCCAAGAGAATCAACGAAGGCTGGCTGCACTAACCAAAGGATTTTCAGTATAGAGCAGTTTTTTCCTTGAAGAACATGCCATTTAGAGATTTTACAGGTAAAGACAATCAAGTCTGGATGCAAGGTTACAGTAGCCAGTGACTTTAAGTTAAGTCAATGCCCAGTTACCATTCACAAAGTTCTAGGGCTCTTCCAGTGCTCGGTAAATGCAATGAGGCCTGGGTGGCAGCACACTGTCCACAACTTGGCTCATTAATTATTTTAAATTCACCATGAAGACCTACTACACAGAAAAAAAGACTGCTTTCAAAATTCTTCTGATCACTGACAATGCATCCAGTCACTCAAGAGCTCTGATGGAAATGTGAGCTCCAATTCATATTGCTTACATGTCTGCAAACACAAAAAACAGTCTGCAACCTGTGCTCAAGAGTAACTAACTGTATTTCAAGTCTTAATTTCCTAAGTCTTAATTGATTCCTTTGATAAAACCAGAACACATAAATACATAATGGATGCCATTAACAATATTCAGGATTTAGAAAAGGAGGTAAAAATACTGACATCAACATGAATGAGCAAGAGAGACTTGGAGGGAGTCAGGACTTCAGTGGATGGAGCAAGCACCTGCAGAGAGGAATATGGAAGTGGAGCTTGAAATGTTCTGTGTGGAAGAGCAAAGAGTAGTTGCTTGAGATGGAATGTGTTCTAGTGAACACTACAGAAGTATCAACTGAGTGAATAGGACATAACCTTAGTTCTTGAGGTAGTGGCACTATATGAGAGGACTGACTCCATCCTAGTCCTCCTATTCTGGGGGAAAGTGCCATCAAATAGAATCACATTGCTACAGGACAACCCTTCATAGAAGATACAACATACAGTAAACTTCACTGCAATGTTAAGATACTGCCACAGCAACTCTAATTGTTAGTAGCCACCCTGACCAAGTCAAAACTCTCCACAAGCAAAAAGATTACAACTCATGAAGGGTTCAAATGATCACTAGTATTTTTTTAGCAACTTTTTTTGTTTTAAATTAAGGACTATGTTTCTTTCAGCATGACATTGTACATTTACAATGATTAATATAAACAAACATCACTTTTCTATGCACTGGGAAATAAAAGGCTCTACACAATGTGTTTTATCATGTTTGTTTTACTGGTCTGGTCTGGAAACCAACCTTCTCTATCTCCAAAGTAAGCCTATACTGCCGAGTGTGAGCAGGAGCTCTCGGGGGTCCAGCCACACGTCACTTTCAGTTCATAGGCCTACCACTTCCTCTTAACCCATGCAGGTTGTTACCAACTGTTGTTCCACCCTTTCAGTTAGGAGCCTCCTTTCACTCAATTCTCAAGAATTCTCAATACTCTTCTGTCTGGTCACCTGCCTATCTCCTTACTGACCAATGTATTTGGTAAGAATACCACTACAACTCACCACATCCTTAAGTAAGTACGATAGGTAGCTTTAAAAATAAATAAAAGAAAGAAGGTATCGGAAGTCTTTGTTGTGGAGAAAGATGCTACAAATAAAAAGAGTGTGTATGGGGGTGCAGACACATGATTTACAAAAACCTAAGTCAGTGAAAAGAATGGATGCCATGACTCATGGACAATGAGACTGAGACAAATCCTAAATCATTTCATGAAAAATTTCAGGAAAAGCTCAACTATCCATACTTGTTGTGCCACTATTTTTTTTAAAACATCAATTGAAAACTAAAGTATATTCTCTGAGGTAATCTGGCAGATATATAGACTTCACTCTTTCAATTTATTTTTCTTACTTGCTCTGTAAAGATGTTATTTTAACCCATTTTAACATGTTTCTATTTCTTTACCAATACATACTTTACTGATTCCCAGTGGATCTGGGTGGCAAGTAACTTACCATTGCCATATGGAAATGCTCGTGCAGAACGGCTGTCATAACCAGAAGAATGGCCACTGTGGATGAAAGAAGTATCTTAGGTCCAAAGCAAATAAGTACTCAATCTTACAGTCCAGTACAAATGAAAAGACAGCAAAGCAACAACATTTAACTTTGAAACAATTTGTTACAAGGTCTTGCTATTTTCTTTTTTTTTGGTTTTTCGAGACAGGGTTTCTCTGTGTAGCTTTGGAGCCTATCCTGGCATTCGCTCTAGAGACCAGGCTGGCCTCGAACTCACAGAGATCTACCTGCCTCTGCCTCCCGAGTGCTGGGATTAAAGGCGTGTGCCACCAATGCCCGACTAGGTCTTGCTATTTTTTAATGTGACAACATGGACTTTTTCACCTCAAAACACTAAGACAATCAATTTCAGCTTTCTAAGTAAAATATAGGGAAATTCTGAGGCTAACAGAATGTTTGAGGTTTAAAACTTAATCTTAGAAAAATTGGTTTTAATGCCTCTAACTTGGTTATAAATTAATCAATAGTACCTTTCCAACAGATACAAACACATTATTGATTTCTAACAGACTTTTTATTTTCTTTGTCCTATTTTGATCTTAGGCTATAGTTACATTAAAGTACTTAATATAGACTAAACATGAATTAACAAGCAGGTGCTATGTGTAAACATTAGAAAATATTAGCAAAGGTTCAGTTGCAAGAGTATCGGCACTGCTTTACCTTTCTATTGTTGGTATAAGAGATGGAGGAGGAGCTCCAGGTGGAGGAGGGAAACCTGAAACATTCAACCAGAATATAAGATAATTAACAGGATGTATGTAATGTCAAGAGTGAAACAGTTGCTGAGTATCACTAATATTTTCTGGGGACACAAACGTGCTTCTCTACGTCATTACGAACAGGAAAAAAATAGAGCTGAAACTTATAAACAGTTTTTTAGAGCAATAATGTTAATTAACAGTCTGGTCTAACACACAGAGCACAAATTGTCAGGACACCCGGTCTTATTTTCAGCACCACACACAGCCCATTTTGTGCATATAAGAAAGTTAGTCTCAATGCCTTACCTTTTCCACATAAAAAAACAGTAGTAGTTTTGCCATCAGATTATGTTTTGAAGGAACACAAATAAAATAGCATTTACGTCATTTAAAAATAGTCTGAGTTTCAGATTTATAGAAATTTCCTTAAAGTGTATAATTTGTAAGTAAAATCTACCAGTAAATATATGTGTTCATAGCAAGAACATCTGCCATAAAATGTTTTAAATAACACAACCCCAATGAACTACTTTACAAAGCAAGGCACATAATGGAGGCAAATACTTTGCCACTTTGTATTGTGAGGACAGCACTCTCAGCCACTTGCATAGCTAAATGAAATCCCACAGAATAGCACGGCTAAAGGGACCTCAGCAGTAGTCTTCTCTATACTTCCAAAGCCAGAATGTAACAGTGTCACAGCCAAAGACTTCAGAGTTCCACAACTTCTGATACCTATCTTCCCCCTCCCCAGGTTTTAACACCCTCCACTACTAGGAAATGCATCGAATTCAACAGTTTCAATCCTTTCGCCCTCTGGTTCATGTCCTGATGGAGACAAGGCCACTACTATACCCTCATTGTCTTCTACTTATTGGCAACTGTCCACTAAGGCTCCTCTCTGGGGACATGAATCCCAGTTCTCTCATTCCTTCTCAAAGCTTCGTTTCATCAATCTTCAGTCTTGCCTCAAACTATTTCAAGTTTACTGTGCTTGTCACTCTGTCCAGTTTTAGCATCTGTAACTCTTCTACTATATCAAAGCAGGCCCACGTTTAGCAGTTACCACAGTAGTCCTCAAGTCCACATCCTACACGACACAGTTTCACAGCCATACAATTACTTAGACTAAAAAGACACAATAATCCTTTAGACCTCCCCTGGCCAGTCTTTCCTCAGCCACACCCACACAGTCAGTGACTATACTCCTAGCTAAGTATGTACACTAACCTTTGCAATCTAAACTTCCCTTTCTGCTGCTCATCCAGGTCACCTAGAATTGAGACCCACTCTTCTCAGCATCATCACTAGTCATCTTCATACTCCTTGGTTTTTTACACTGAACTCAGTAAATATACTTTCTATTGGGTTCACCATTACACAATAAAAAGAAATCACTGACAAAAATGTAAAAAAAAAAAAAACCACTGAGCTACATAACCACTATTGACTACACCATCACAATGCCCAATTAATTATCACTCTAAGAACAGGTACTTGACTACTTATTAAGCCATACAACTGCTGTGTAGTTCAGAACATATTTTCTCATGACAGTGGGTAAACAATCAGAAGCCATGATAAAAATCAAGATAAATTATTTTTCTTTTCTCTTTGAGTCACACACGAAAAAAAAAAATCATTGGTCTAAAAAGCTTTTCAAACAGTGATTTTATTTTGTATCTTCTATGGTTTCCCTCTCAAATTGATAAGGTGAGAACATCTATTTCTATAGAAATGGATAAGACAGGCTTAAGAAAACTAAATGTCTTAAAACCGGAATGAAGCAAAGGCAGAGCTGAAAATAGGACCTTGAAATCCCAGTGACCTAGTGCACATTCTAACCGCATCAACACCGTCCCTCCTGTAACTATAAGCTTGAAATTTCATGTTCATTAACAATGATGGAGAAAACATGAAAAAAGTTTTACCTGGAGGTGGTACAGTTATTGGAATACCTAAAAAACAAGTGATGAAATTTAATATAGTAACTGGATTTCAGAACCTGGTATGTTTTATGCCATCACCACAACAAACTTTGAAATAAAACCCCTGTCTCAGCATCCTGGCACAGCACTCAAGAGAAGCGCTCTGTGTTCTTGCAGACCAACAATTCAAGTACAGCATCCAACTTCCCTGATGAGAGCCAGTCTACCAACGCCAGAGCAAGACTGCCCCACTAGCTGCAATCACAAATGAAGTTAAAAGGCACATCACTTAAAAATATCAAACTTGGTAATGTTGAAAAACTCACTAAGTTGGGTCATCAGAAATGGATGGTGTTAGCTTAACACTTTAAGTACTGCAGGTAGGGAAAGATTATGGCTATCATTCATTTCTGTAAAGAAAGGCCAGCGTGAACTACCTAAGTGTGAAGACTGTTTTTTTACTACTGTTGCTAGGAGTTAATACTCTTTGACTTGTAGCAGGCACAGGAAACTTCTATATAAACACATGCATACACCGATACCCACACATAATATTAACATAAACAGATGACTGCCTTGTACAGGTGTTGGCAAACTAAGAGTGTCTCTTGATTCTTTGTAAACATCACAGCCTTTAAGAAATAAACTATGCATGAACATTTTAAGTTTACACTGCTGAAATGTCCCTGTTAAGTACTAAGCAACTAAAATTAAATTCTAATTTTAAATTTAAGAAACACATGAAAGCCAGTGTATGACATATAAACTGGAACTACTTTTAGTTGAAAAATAATGGTCTCAAAGTAAGAAAACAGGAAAAAAATTCAAACAACTTTTTCATTAAAAGTTTTATATTACAAATAAATTCAATCATTAAACAGTTTATTAAATCTTCTTTAAAACTGTGTCAAAATTAGCTCAAAGGGCGGGAGCAAATTCACTTACTAACTGCATGCAAGTGAGCAGAAGCACTTTCAGATGTTTTCGTGACCATGGAGAGCTGCTGCTAGTTGACTGTAAGCTGTTCTGAGGACATGTTTTACCGGAAGAAGGCTGTCATGAATAAGAGCTTAAGGCAGCATATGTCCTTAAAACACAGACTCAAGTACCTGATCCAACCCTATGAAATAAAAGGCTATGAAACCAGCAAGAGTGAAAAAGTATGTAAGGCAGCCATGGTGGTGTTCCTAACCTATCAACCTAACCCATAAGTAACCCCATTTCCACATATCCCAAGGTTTAGCGTCATGCCTCTCACAGCACTGACATCTAAGAACCTAGCAGATAGCTCCTACCAAGAATCTCAAATGCAAAGCTAAATGGGGGAAGGAAGGCAGGCAGGAATAGTCATGTTTTTTTATGAATACTACTACTTAATATTCTTTACAACAATACAAATATTTAAAACGCTACTGAACTTTCACTATCTGTATTTCACATTTAATAATGAAAATTTTCAGTGTGTAAGGCTACTGCTGTTAGATCAGTTCCCACTCCATGTAGCTTTCATCCTAGTAATGTAATCTAAGTGTGTATGAGTAGCAAGCACTACTTTAGCTACACTTACTAAAATGAGAATGTGTGCAAAAAAATGACACAATTACTAGTCAGGGCCTTCAGAACTTAGTCCTCACAAGAATTTAAACTGTGAAAACAAATGTAGAAGGCATAAGACCAAGTTAATCCCTCCTAAAGCACTTAAAATTACTGTGTTGGTTAGTTTAATGTCAAATTGATACAAGCTGGTATCATTTGGGAAGAGGCACTCTCAACTGAGAAAATGCCTCCATAAGACAACTGGATAAGCAAGTCTGTCCAACGTTTTCTCAAACAATGATTGATGCTGGAGAACCCAGCTTACTGCGGTGGGTCCAACCGGTATAAGGTCCACCAGTCTTATACCAGTGGGTATAAGAAAGCAAGCTGATTGAACCAACAGGAAGAAGCCAAGTAAGCAGCAAGACTTCTGCTTCTGTTTCTGCCTGTTACTGTCCTGACTTCCTTTGATGATGGGATGTGATGTGGAAGAGTAAGGCAAACAAACCCTTTCCTTCTTAAGTTCCTTTTGGTCATAGTATTTTATCACAGCATTAAAACCCTAATTAAGGGGCTGGAGAGATGGCTCAGTGGTTAAGAGCACTGACTGTTCTTCTAGAGGACCCGTGTTCAAGTCCCAGCAACCACATGGCAGCTAACAACTGTCTGTAACTCCAAAGATCTGACACCCTCAAGCAGACATATATGTAGGCAAAGCACCAATGCAAATAAATTATAAAAAACCCTAATTAAAACAAGTATTACCTGTCTTTAATTTTAATCTAACTATAGTAGTGTCTCAGAAAAAATTTTAAAAATCAACTGGAACTAAGAACAGAGAAAAAGAAAAAGCATGTTATATACAGTTGTCTTTCCAATTGGTGCCTATACAACAGACCGATTTCGTGCCAGACAGGGCTCTTCCAGTGAGACTTTTATTTCATGTAGGATTCTACTTCAGTGTAAACACTTGGTTGTGGAAAGGACTATAAAACTGATGAAACATACAACCAATTCCTTGACAACTCCCAGAAACATCTTCAAACAATAAGTTTAATAAGTGATATTATAAACACCACATTTTCTTTTAAAAATCTCCAGTATTTACATTTATTAAAGAAACAAAAACAAAATAATGTAAGGGATGGAAAACTCATTGCAAAAATTCCGTTTCTCTTCCCTGAACAACTCCAATAGACTTAAACATACAAATTAAGTACTTTGCTTCTGATAATATGTGTGTGTGTGTGTGTGTGTGTGTGTTTTGTTTTGCTTTGAAACAAGGTCTCACTATGTAGTCCTGGCTAGCTGGAAACTCTACATGAACAATCTGGCCTTGAACTTATATCTACCTGCATCTGCCTCCCAAGTGCTGGGATTAAAGGTCTGTGCCACCTCTGCTAAGACATTCTAGAGTTTCTCATTCAAAATGTCTAACATAATATAAAAACAAGTCTGTGTTCCCAAGAAATCCTAAGGAGATGAAGTCATTAACCTGGGACCACACTCTGAGAACACTGGATTATAGTCCACACTTCTATACTTAAGAGACCCGGTAATACATTGGAAAAGTACAATCAATTTTAAATTTTTATGAAACAAAGTCATTTTTGTCCTCAAAGTAAAACACAATGACAATATAGACTATTGATAGACACTCAGCAGGGGTGGGGGAATTGAGAGAGACACAGAGAAAATGTTCAGCTTTTTCAATACTGATTTCATGATTATTCCTAAACGTAAAAGGGGGGGGAGGGTGGCACACACCTTTAATCCCAGCACTTGGAAGGCAGAGGTAGGCAGATCTTTGTGAGTTTGAGGCTAGCCTGGTCTACAGAGTGAGTTTCGGGACAGTCAGGGCTACATAGAGAAACCCTGTCTCGGGGGTTGGGGAGGAGGCTAAAATCCCACCTGGCAAACTGAGGCAAAAAGCAAAAAGGCAGCATTCTTACTAAATATTAAAAAACAAACAAAAAATGTGACCTGTGTCAGGAATTTCTGCAAAATACTCTGAAGACAGAGTTATATTTATATTGAAATAAACTCATTTTTTATCAGTGATTTGTAGAATATGCTAGGCAGCTTCTGACATGGTTCTACGATTCCTTCCTACTGGTACAAATACCTTTGCATACTTCTGGTATCTGACTACTCTTCTAAGTGAGCAGGATATCACAGCTCTTATACGACACACACAACACAAAGCCAGCAAAACCAGTGAGGCCGTATCTATGACTAGGCGACAAAGGACAGTGATTTCTACTTTGCTGGCACTCTTTCAGTTGCCACCTCAGATGTTGGAGAAAACCAAGCCCTTTGGACCCACAACCTAACAAAAAGAGGAAAGGGGTGCTAGACAAAGGACTTGCTTTGGGTTTGGTTCCCAGCACCCACACAGCTTTTCACAAGCATCTGTTAATTCTCCTTCCAGGGAACCTGTCACTCTATTACAATCTCAACAGGTACCAGGTATGAATGTGGCATACATGTAATTAAAACCCTCATACACATAAAACAAAAATAAATCTTTTTAAAAGAACAAAGCTGACTTTTATTATCAAAGTGAGTGAACTTCGAGACTAAGCCTTCCTCAGTTAAATCCTTAGAAATAACCAGGAAGTCTTAAAGTTTTAAGTACTTAAGCTACTCCTAGATTCCTAACACAGACAATAACAATATGCTTTTTAAGCTACTACATTCCAGATAACTTGTAATGTAGTAATAGAAACACAATACATACTTACCAGTTAAAGGGAAAGGGGGATAGCACCATGTGAATTCTGCTTCCTGCTTCTCACTAAATTCCAAATCCCATTAGTACTATAATGTAAGGCTAGAAAGGCCGGATCTAAGACTGTTTCTACTGTAAGCCAAAGTTGGGAGCTTGTACAAAGACACCTCGTCAAAAGTGTATAATATCATTTAACAGAAATACTTCACAAATTAAGCACATGAACATACAGACATACACAAAACATGCAGAATACTACAGTTTCTCAATGATTAAACCAACGATATTGCATAAGGAAGAAAGTCATTGTACATGTATTACAATGCTATGATCACAGAATTAAATCAACTGAGTTACCAGCATATTTCTTATCTAAAAAGCTAGTAAAAAGCACAAGATTTTATATTTTTATTATCACTCAATCATCAAATTTATAAAATTTAATTCCTACAGAAAATAAAATTCCATCTCCAATTAAAACATATAGCTGATTTTATCACCTCTTATATACTCAAGGTTACTGGAAGAACATGGCAAACAAAAGAAAGATATTAAAACTATACTTAAATTCTACAATGCAGTGCCAATGGTGCATTGAATATGACAATTCAGTGTGAGGATTTAGACTACTCAGTACACTACTTGCACAAAACCCTGGGTGTGATCCCAGAACTCCACAAACCAGGCATACAAATGACTGTAAACCCAGTACCCCGAAGAGGAAAAAAAGTTTAAGACCATCCTTTGTTACACTGACCCTATC